TTCATATTGTGATCATATTGTATTTTAGACCTTCTTAATATAGTTACAATGGTTGGCAGTGTTTATATATGTAGACAGCCAAATTGTTTATTCCCCGTGAAGGGAGGAGTGTAATATGATGAGTGTGAAAAAGTTGCCCCTTAAGATGTGTACTCGTTTAAGTCCTACTTCATACTAAAGATGCTCAAAGCCCAACTCGCATTGGCTTTGTATGTTTTGCTGTACAAATAAGATGTTACTGATCCAGGAAGTTATTGTCTTTGACCTGTAGGAAGAAAGGTGGTAGTTGCACTGGTAACACGAATACTGACAGTGAAGAATGTGTCACTGTAGTATGTGCTGTTACTGGACGCGTTAAACACCTGTCTGTGATAGACGGAATAGTAAAATCTCTTTTAAAACTAACGAGGAGTAAAGCGTCATTCAATATTGAAATGGGTAGTCATGCATCCAGTGGAAATTGAAGACCCGGATAAAACCGTCACCATTCCTAATAGTTCCGGTGTGGCTGTCCTAAGTGATGTAAAATGGACGGCAGTATAGAGATACGCACTTGCTTGGCAAGCCATTGGTGAACTCCCATTCTATGTCACAAAATATACTACCAAAGTCTGGTAGTGAGACAGAACTCCACTCTGGCATGACTGAGAAGAATTTAATCTCATCGAATACTATTGTGAGTAGTTTGCTAGAGTCAAACGACCCTGATCTCAAAATTAGACACGTGCATAATTTGGAAAAGCTCGGAGAATATATCCGTAGCATCTTACCAGATAACTCGAAAGGAATTAAGGTCAAAAAGTTGGTAGGAATAGATGAGAGGATCGACTACGGTGTTAAACTCCGACCAGATAAACCCCTTAAGGTAATCCTAGGTTGGAGAAGCAACGTGTTCTTCTGCTAAGCAGTCACGACAATACCGACATTTGAGTAAGACCTGACATGTATCTTGAAGATAGAATAAAAAAAAGACGGTACTAACTGAACTAGACACCCCTTGACAAAATGGTGAGGAAAATCGCTTAATTGGTTTTCGAATAATCAGGTCTTGGAAGCGAATGCTACAAAGGCCTGTGTAGATAAGTCATTTTCCCTAGGAGTTTTATATGCAAAGGCTCGTAGCCTAAGAATGAAATTCTATGAACTAGGAGCAGTAGTGAAAAATTTGGGGCCACCCATTATAGCTATGACGAAAACTTGGTTAGTTCATGACTTCTACATTACTCTATAATTATCCGGGTACCACTACCTTAGAAGTGATAGACATAGATGTAGGAAAGGTGGCGTTTCTTATACATAACCAATAATATAGGTATCCGCTCCTTTGCTTGCGAATCCCATGGTAGTCATAAGCTGCAAGCACACTATCGGATGTTGTACATTTATACTCGGTGTCACCCATCGCAACGCAATTTACTTAGCTGATGATTTATTTTAGTGCATAATCACCTATGGAGTGCAAATAACAGATGCTTGATATTAGGAGACTTTAATGAACCTGATATTAGTTGGATTGAGATGGTTACGGTAAGATCTATAAACTCCTTTGATAGTAGGTTCCTGATAACGGTAATGGAGCATGCATTAGTACAGCATGTATCCAAACCCATACGTTTTGGTGCAAACCAAGGTTCTTTGTTAGCCTTGGTGATCCTTCGTGCGACTGAGGATATTACCAATCTAAATTTTCTTCCGTTAGCGAATAGCGATCACACTGTTTTTTGATTCACGTTTAGAGCTAATGACATGATATACGATTAGGTCAAGCCTCGCCCAAATGTATGGAGAGCTAACACGTCAGCCATTTATACGTGCGCTGCTAAGACATTGGTCAGTAAATACTGGCTCATCACTTGAAGAAGCATGGTCTATATTTAAAGGCAAGTTTAGTTCAGTTACGTTCTCGCTTATACCATGCCTGGTACCATGTAGACCGAATAACTGCCCACCATGGATAACTAAAGTCAAGAAACTTCTTAGACGTAGGAAAAAGCTTTGGAATATGTTCATTTCTACTGTCTTAAAACAATACAGATCCAGTTATTGTAGGGCTAGAAATGCTTGTAAAGCGTTAATAAGTAAGACTAAACTGTCATATGAAAAATAGTTGGTTAGGGATTGTAAAAATAGCCCAAAACGGTTATTCTCATATATAAGAAGGCGAACTCAGGAAAGTGATGGAATTCCATCACTTTTGGTAGAAGAAAATCTGTTAATATTGGCAAGAAATGATGTCAAAAAAGCCGAAGCTTTATCGAAATATTTCAGTAAAGTGTTTTCTATCAGTAATGAGGAACTACTAACGATTCATTGTTACTGTGTGTGTGTTTTATTTCAACACATAAATATTGGTATAAGAGGGCACCAAATATATATGCGCCACACCATATTTGTGTATGTGAGGGCTGTGATACTGCCCGGGTGCCCAGACCGAACCAGGTGGTTTTCTTAGGGGGCCACTCCCCGAGCCTTTGACCTAAAGGTCTAACCCACAAGGCAGTGGAACAGCGTGAGGAGATGCATTCCCATGGTAGCCGGTGGCCAACGATTGGTTCATACGCCATTTGTTCCCTTAGGATACTGGAGCCCATGTGCACCGTTGGTTTGGGATCCGGTTAAAGCGCCGGACATTCGCTTTTCGTCCTCTCATTTTCGTAAACAACACCCGTGGTGCGAGAAGGCAATGAGTAGGACTTCCCTGGCAGAGGTTGTATACGCGTGGCCGTGTTTCACTGGATTACATTCTTTAAATAACATTTCAAACCCTAATCTTCTCGATTACTGCTTTTACTTTTACTACCTCTACCACTATGTGATTTGAATCGACTATTGGATCTCTGTGCTAATTTGATATGACAACTCGAACTGATGTACGTACGTACGAAGTTCTACGTTGTTACTGACTAACTGACTGAATGAGGTATGGCGGCTTGTTGATGGACCCTGTATTTATTGAGAAAGATACTGTCTTAAGATTGCTTCAGCATCTCAAACCTGATAAGTCCAGTGGGCCTGATGATATTCATCTTAGGATTATGAAAACCTTATTGGATGTAATTACTGAACCTATGGCCATACTGTTTAATATGTCTCTGCAGCAGTTCAGACTGCCAAGAGACTGGAAAGATGCAATAATTAGTCCGGTGTATAAGGCGGGGAGTAGAGATTTATTTGGTAACTATCGACCCGTTTGTCCAACTGGTGCAGTTGTAAAACTAATGGAAAAGATTATTCGGATGGCTGTTATAAATTATGAGGAAGGGCGTAATCTTTTATCCAGGGAACAACATGGTTTTCGAAAAGGCCTATCATGTTTGACAAATCTCATTGCAAGAGATGATTGGGCTGCGGTAAAAGATCGAAATATTCCTGTAGATGTGATTTTCATAGATCTAGGTAAAGCCTTTGATAAGGTCTCCCATTCAGGTCTTAAATGAAAACGGGAAAGTTTGGGAATCCATTATAAGGTCATAGACTGGGTAAGTGACTTTCTCGATGACTATCATAAGGGGTCCACGCGAATATCGTTACCAATGGTTGGCGACTAGGTCATATGGCTCAGAATCGATCACAATGGCGTAGGTGTATACACTCTTTGTCTTCCCTTAAACTATGAGACTAACATTATTTCACATATTTCTTTCTACGAACTTATTTTTTCTTTCTGTACTATATCCTTACATAAAATAGCAACCAATGGTTAAAGACCCTGAATGACATGGCTCAAAATCGTTTGCAATGACGCAGGTGCATACACTCTTTGTGTTCTCCCAAATTTTGATCTCCTTATTCCTCCTTGTCTCTTTTTTTCTCTTTCCAAATTTGTTTCACTGGATTACATTCTTTAAATAACATCTCCAAACCCTAATCTTCCCGATTACTGCTTATACTTTTATTACCTCTACCACTATGTGATTTGAATCGACTATTGGATCTCTGTGCTAATTTGATATGACAACTCGAACTGATGTACGTACGTACGAAGTTCTACGTTGTTACTGACTAACTGACTGAATGAGGTATGGCAACTTGAACCGGTGCATGTATGTGCCTAGTCCTACGTTGTAACTGACTGACTATGACAAGAGACTAAAGGCAAGGTTAAATAGAGCTCTCTCAGCGTTGGAACCTGTAAAAAGTGGAGTTCCCCAAGGTACAATCCTCTGTCCTCTTCTCTTTTTACTGTATGTAAATGAATTACCAACTGTGGCAAAGTCATCCATCCTACTCTTCGCTGATGATATTATGATTTGGAGACCCACAAACAGTATGTCAGATAGAATAGTATTACAGGATGATCTCAACTCATCAATGGCATGGATGAACGGATGGTCACTAGAAGTAAATCCTGACAAGTGTGGTGATACAATTAAATAACTAGGATGATTCGTATCACTACACAATATTGGGATTCGTGTTACCCAAAGTAAGAAACCATGAAGATTTAGGAGTCATAATAAGCAGTTATTTCAGTACTAGTGATTGTAAGGCTGTTGCTGCAAAAGGCTATAGTGTATTATGGTCTATTCGTCGGTCTTTTCGGTATTTGGATGAAGAAATGTTTAGATTATTATACCCAACTTTCGTGCGATCGCATTTGGAATATGGGATTCAAGTACGAGGCGGATATGGTGGTACAAGTCCAACGACGAGGTACTAAAATGGTACAAGGTCTATCTGGCTTATCTTATAGAAACAGACTGAGACACCTCAACTTATTTCCGTTATCTTACCGCAGAATACGGGTGATCTAATATTGGCTTATCGTATACTGGACGATGACCTTAGTATTAATATGTCTTATCTTTTCCTTCCGTCTAGGACTGATAATTTGAGAGGACATTCTAAGAAAGGTCAAAAACCGTGATCAAATTGTCTACGTCTGGAGTTTCGTTTCTTTCACCGAGTAGTAAATTACTGGAATTGTCTACCAGAACACGTAATATCAGCACCTTCTGTTGATATATTCTAAACGAGATTGGACCTTGACATTACTACAAACTGCAAGGATTAATATAGGTCGATAGACCTATCCTTATTACTGAAGACTGTTGCCTTCATTTCCAGCTGTCACATTGCGCGCCTCATCGCTACTAAAGCTACCTTCAAACAAGACTCAACCCACCAAAGGCATGACGTACTTATGTTCGTCGTGTAAGGCTGATGTGTCTGTCTCAGAAAGAATCAATCATGTCAGGAGCGACTGGCATATATACAACCTAAAGCGTGTCGTTTCTGGTCTACTGCCAATATCTGAAGATATGTTTGTACATAAAAAACAATTGATTGCTGCAGAAGCACCTGTGGCTATAGAGGTTTGAAAAATTTGCTTCATATTTTTATCCTAGAAAACGTATTGTGACGCCTGCAAGAAATCCTTCGCAAATAACAAATCTTTTACTGCCCATTTGGTTTCGAAGCGCCATATACATAACAGCCACTTGTTCAAAACGTAAGCATTATATTTCTAAATCCACATTTTATCCACATTCTTCCATACCAACGGGTTGCTTATTGAGTTGGTTTTATTATAACGTTTGCAAAGCTTCGTCGTACTAGCCATCACTCAGTACACAAATTAGTTCCTCTGAAGTTTGACCACTAGTAGAATTTCAGATGCAATAGATGACAGTCTGTATCAAAACATAAACACGAACATCTGAGATAACGGCTGAGTTTCGTTTTAAGGTGAGCACTTCACATATATCAATTTTTTGTCATGAATGCACCCAATTTTACTCAACCATTAGTGGGATTTCTGCTTCCCATTTATTGTATCGTGGTGAGCTTAAGCGTTATATGTTTTTTGTATTCCCAGTGTATTTTAGATTTTGTCTCAATTTCATCTCGATATTGGTCGCATCTCCAATGCTTGCTCATATTCATGCATCTATGAAACGTTTGTAACTCGGATATTTATTTATCTAAACACAAACATTGGTACAAGGACGCACTAAATATATATTACTTACTTACTTACGCCTGTTACTCCTCGTGAAGGAACATAGGCCGCTCACCAGCATTCTCCATCCAACCCTGTCCTGGGTAATCCTTTCTAATAATGCCTCTATAGTTTTCACATTTGCTCAGATCTCCTTTCTTTGGAATCTTGATGAGGTGTCCTTCTTTCCAGTCCATCGGCACTCGTTCCTCCTCCCAAATCTTTTTGAATAGAAGGTGAAGCATGTTTGTAGTTCCTTCGATGTCTGACTTCAGTGCTTCAGCTGGTATATTGTCGGGCCCTGCTGCTTTCCTCCTCTTGATTTGTTTGATGGCCATCCTGATTTCTTCCGTCGTTGGTGGATTAACATCTATAGGAATATCTGTGTGTGCTGCTTCGATATCCGGTGGATTCATTGGAGCCGGCCTATTCAGGAGTTCCTCGAAGTACTCTACCCATCTGTTCCGTTGTTGTTGAATTTCAGTGATTGGCTTGCCTTCTTTGTCTTTGACCGGTCTCTCTGGTTTACTGTATTTCCCTGCTAGATTCTTCGTTGTATTGTAAAGATGTTTCATATTTCCTCTTGCAGCTTTTTCCGCTGTCGTTGCTAATTCTTCCATGTATTTCTTCTTGTCGGCTCTAATGCTCTTTTTCACTTGCTTGTTTGCTTCTATGTACTCAGCTTGTACTTGGACTTTCTCTGCTCGTGTTCGGCTGTTGTTAATTGCTGTCTTCTTGTTCTTCCTTTCTTTGATCCTGTCCAGTGTTTCTATAGAGATCCATTTTTTATGATGATGCTTTTTGAGGCCCAGAACCTCTTGACACGTTGAAGTCAATGTTTTTTTGATGCCTTTCCAGTTGTCCTCCATGGTAGTTTCTTCTTCTTTCAGTAGATCTTGAAAGGCTTGGAACCTGTTGTTGAGAGCTATCTTGAATTCATTGAGTTTGTCAGTATCTCGAAGGAAGGCTGTATTGAACCGTTGTAGTGCTGTTTGTCCACTTGTCCAGTTCTTTTTTAGCTTCAGTTTTAAATTGGCCACAACTAGGTGGTGATCTGAAGCTATGTCAGCTCCTCTCCTGGTTCTCACATCTTCCATTGTCCTTCGGAATTTTTTGTTGATGCAAATATGATCTATCTGGTTCTCTGTGGTGTGGTCCCGTGGGATCCATGTAGCTTCGTGTATACGTTTGTGTGGAAATATTGTTCCACCTATGACCAATTTGTTGAATGCACACAGATTTGCGAATCTTTCCCCATTTTCGTTTCTCTCTCCCAGTCCATTTCGTCCCATGATATCTTCATATCCGGTGTTGTCTATTCCGACTTTGGCATTCAGATCTATCATCAGAATGGTGAGGTCCTTTCTTGGGCACTTCTCTATGATTGGTTGCAGCCGCTCGGAAAATTGGTCTTTAATGTCGTCGTTGCTATCATTGGTGGGTGCATAACATTGGATAATATTCATTGTGATCCCCTCCTTCTTTGTTTTGAATGATGCTTTGATGATTCTGGATCCGTGAGATTCCCATCCTACAAGTGCATTTCGTGCTACTTTGGACAGCATTAGAGCAATTCCCTGAGTGTGTGGAGCATTTTCCTCTTCGTGACAGGAGTATAGCAGCATCTCTCCCGTATTTAGCCTTTGTTGTCCAGCTTGGGTCTAATGGGTTTCGCTGATTCCCAGTTCTGCCACATTGTATCTCCTGATTTCCGTTGCTATTTGACTGGTCTTCCCGGTCTCCCACATTGTTCGGACGTTCCATGTACCTACAAAAGCTGTTGCTCTGGTTGTTAGAAGGGGCATCGACCTCGTGGCTTCCGAAGGAACTCGGCTTTTACCATGAGGCGTCATAGTTCTTCTAAATTTATTTATTTATTTATTTGAACACATAAATATTGGTACAAGAGAGCGCCAATATATATGCGCCACACAAAACAATGAGAATTCGAAGAGAATTCGAAAAAAAGAAAGAGAACAATAACGAAGAGATTGGTGTAAGGTAGTGTGGTAGTAATGAGGGAACGGAAACGTACAATCGGAAGAAATCTTTCAGGTAAGGGAGACACAACCACTTTTTATGAAGAAAGTAAAAGAAGATTACAGCAGGATCGCCACTGGTTTCTATTCTGAGCCATATCTGATAACGTCTCTAGCCACTGTGTAGCACCATCTCTCGGACCCCAACCAGGGAGTCGTGAAGGACCGACAGAAGCCAGTCCTTTGCAGCTTTCTTTCATACCACGACACCATGTCATGCACTGACCACCTCTCCGCTTCTTCCAACCAGTCCCACAGTCGGCAAATAATGCACGACGTGGAATTCTCTGGGGCGACATTCGGAGAACATGTCCAAGCCACTGAAGTCGGTGTTTCAAGATGGTGACACCAATTGCATTATCGTCTCTGCGCCCGAACACACGATGCCGAACCTCTGCATTACTGACATGGTGTTGCCACTGGATGTCAGCAATCCTTCGGAAACAGCGATGATCGAACACAGAGAGTCGTCTAACATCCTCAACTCGGAGAGACCAGGTTTCACAAGCATAGAGCAAAACTGCTCTCACCGACGCGTTCTAGATCCGACCTTTTACAGCTAGACTAACATCATGAAGGCGCCAAAGATGGCCCAGATTGGCATAAACCGCTCTGGCTTTCACTATACGTGGATTGATCTCATCACTCACGCCACCATCAGCACTTATGCAGCCACCCAGATACACGAACTTTTCGACTACGTTTATCTGCTCACCATCCAGGGTGAGTACAGGATTGGAATCCTGCCAGTCTTGTAGAAGTACTTTGCACTTCGAAGGTGCAAAGCACATACCATGCCTACGGACACTGATTGTCAACTGATTAAGTGCGGATTGCATGCATTGGGCATTATCGCACAGTAAGACAATATCATCCGCATACTCAAGGTCGAGAAGTCTTTCTCCAGGCAACAGATCCACACCACCATTACTTACATTCATCAGAGCTGTTTCCAAAATGTCATCGATGGCAAAGTTGAAGAGGAATGGTGAGATTGGGCAACCCTGCCAAACCCCACTGCTCGAATGGAACAATGGAGAGAGGTGGTTGTATACCCTCACTCTGCCTGAGGTATTTGTATATAGGGCTTTTAGGATGTTAATAAACTTCTCAGGCACACCCTTCTTCAATAGACAATCCCAGAGAACAGCCCTGTCCAACGAATCGAAGGCAGCCCTGATGTCAAGAAACACTACGATTGTTGGCTTTTAATAAGTATGGCGGTGTTCTAACATTTGGCGGAGGGCGAAGATATGATCAATACATCCTCGACCAGAACGAAACCCAACCTGCTCCTCGCGAGTCAATCTTTCTCGGGTTTTGAACAACCTACGAAGTATGATGGATGCCAATAGCTTGGACGCAATCGGAAGTAGACTTATCCCCCGATAGTTGTTATAAGAACGACGTGAACCCTTTTTAAAGATAGGGACAACTATCGACTCATTCCATGACGTTGGTACACTCTCTAGTTCCCAAACCTTTGTAAACAACGTTGTCAATTCCTTAGTCAAGAAGTCACCACCATCTTTAAAAAGAGCCGGAGGTAAGTCATCTGGGCCAGGTGGAGTTCCTTGCGGACTTCCTCCTCGTTTGGTGGATCAGTCGTCACCGGCCATGGAGGGCAGGACAGTCTGACCGATGTTGCTGGAGCAGCAGGCCAGTTGAACTGCCCTTCGAAAAATTCTGCCCATCGTCCAAGATGTCGATGGATGTTATTGATTGGCATCCCATCATCCTCGCAGATTGTTTCACTCACACCAGACTTCTTGCTGCCAGTGGCTCGGATGAGCTGGAAGAGCTTCCGGTAGTTACCAGATGCAGCTGCTGCTTCCAGCTTATTAGCACGCATCGACCACCAGACTTCTCGGTCCTTACGCAAGCTTTGCCCAATTTCCTTACGTAACATCCTTCGTTTATGGTCAAACTCACGGTCACCCGGAGTAGACCGACGGGCTTCAATGAGTTGTAAGGAACCTGCAGAAACCCAGTGCTTATAAGCGGGACGTTTCGCAAACCCACAACTGACTGTACCCGCCATTTTCATGGCGTCATGCAATTGCAACCAATGCTCATCTATAATTTTCGGTGGAGTGGTAGCTAGCCTAGAGGCTAGCTCGGTTCGATACTTACTTGCAACAGAAGTTGCAACCAGTTTGCTAATATCAATCCGTTGATGGCGGTCACTTCGTTGTCCACTGAAAAGTAAGGCAAGATTGGCGCAGACCAAGGCATGGTCAGAGTCCAGATAGGTACTCCAAAAGGAGCGGCAGTCTTGTACACAACCACGCCAGCGGTAGCTGATCGCGATGTCATCAATCTGAGTCCAGGCTTGGGATGCAGAGGGAGGATGCCAGGTGGCACATCGGCGATGACTGTGCCGAGAGTTAGTGCTAGCCAGAAACAGGTTGTGGTCTGTGCAAAGTTGCAGTAGACGGTCCCCGTAATCTGACCTGAGACCAACGAGTCCCCATCGGCCACCTAAACGACTCTCTTCTGTACCTAGACGCCCGACCTGAGCATTCAAGTCTCCGGCTAGTACCACAATATCTGTCGAACGCACTTTCTGGAGAAGAACAGATAACTGGTGGTAAAACTTATCCTTGATTGCATCCGGGCTGCAATCTGTCGGGGCATAGGCGGAGATGACGAAAAGACATCGTTTATCACGCCGATTTCTTCTCACTTTGATGGAACTCTCTAATCTAACAGCACATAACCGACTGTTAATGGGGATCCAATCGACTAGTGCTGCCTCAGCTCTAGCGCTTAGTGCGACACAAACGCCAGCAAGACTAGACGAAGATGACACAGGGTCCCCGGATAAGCGCACGTAAAACAAGCTTTTCGAAGCGACAGATGGAGATCGAATTTGTAGTACTTCGCCAGAGTCTTGAATACGGGTCTCGGATAGACAACAAACATCAACATTAAGACTTTCCAAAGACATAGCCAGCCCTATCTGTTGTCCGACCTGCATAAATGTGCGAAGGTTGAAGGCAGCCAGTTTGAATGATGCACGTGTTTTCAGAAAAACTGCTTCAGTCCTCGTATTCGGTGGTAACATACAATTTTCAACCGGACAGTGACTCGAGAACGTTTAGATACAGTCGAATTTCCACCAAAGACGAGCCGCTGTATAAGTATAAAAGAGGGTGAATAATGTGGAAAATAATAATAATAATAATAATAATAATAATAATAATAATAATCATGACAATAATAGTGATAATAATAATAGTATTAATAATGACAATAATTGTAATGATAATAATTTGAAGCAGTTGATTGTTTTTCGAATCGAGAAAGGTAATTTCCATAGACATAGAGAGTTCATCAATTTGTGTGCGGGCTGTGATACTGCCCGGGTGCCCAAACCGAAGCAGGTGGTTATCTTAGGAGGCCACTCCCCGAGCCTTTGACCTAAAGGTCTAACCCACAAGGCAGTGGAGCACGAAGGAGATGCAATCCCATGGTAGCCGGTGACCAACGATTGGTTCATACGCCATTTGTTCCCTTAGGATACTGGAGCCCATGTGCACCATTGTTTTGTGATCCGGTTAAAGCGCCGGACATTCGCTTTTCGTCCTCTCATTTTCGTAAACAACACCCGTGGTGCGAGAAGGCAATGAGTAGGACTTCCCTGGCAGAGGCTGTATACGTGCGGCCGTGTGAGAGTATTTCGAGAGGGAGAGCGGACTTTCCCCACTCTCGGCCGTACCAGGGCATTCGGGGGCGTTCTACTAAATGAAGACCTTCTAACTCCCAGGGCAGAGTTTTAATGGTTTGAGTTATTTTTTCTGGTTAGCGTTTTTTTAGCGAGTTAGTTTTTTACAGGATGGGGTCGCTAACCCCATTCCCAACCCTCTTCAACCCGGGCTTGGGACCGGCAGTAACTCTAGAAGAGCTACAGGCTGAGTTACTAAATATATATGCACCACACAAATCATTTGATTTGCGTATAAGGTCCTTAAAGATACATAATATTAGTTTGATTCAACTCGTAAATATCAGCACTCTTCTGACGCTTTATTCAAAATCACTGTTGGTACATATTATTTTTTATGAGTATCAAGGGATTAAAAAAATAAGAGTTTAATAAAGGAGAGTAATTATTGAACCACATCGATCGTTATTGTCAGAACGTTTTTTGCACCTCTCCAATCACCATTATATATATATACTTATTCCTGTTGTCCTTAGGAAAACTACGCAGACAGTCGTCAGTTCTACTAAACCTTCAGCAGAAGACTGTTTGACAGAACCATTACCACTGGGGTCATGTTTGTTCTGTGACCGCTATATATCACTGAATTATTTGCCAAATGAGTCACTTGATAGTGCCAAACAAAGTGATTTAGCTAAACGTGTCCTAAATCACATGTTCGATGTGCACAAATTTAGTGTTCCATTTCCAGAAAGATTAACCGATCCTGCCGGGTTGTTAATTGAATTAGGACGTATTGTGGGGGAAGAACGCTGTTGCTTGGCTTGTGGTCGTCAGTTTTACGGTAGTTGTGTGGAAGGATCAGACAATGCTCGGATCTCCCTGTCTGCCGTCCGCAGTCATATGTTGGACAAACCTGGCCACAAACAAGTATGGTATGGAGTAGAAGACCCAGTCCAAGTGGCATTATTGGTAGCTAAGGCAGAAGAAGAGTCAAATGACGATTGCGAGATAAATTACCCTAAAGCTGCTCTTGCAGGTGGTGAGCTGTTTAGTCAGTTTTACGATCAGTCAGTCCTTGCACCATCTTTCATACTTGTAAGTTGTTTTTTATCCCTAATTGGTGAATTAAAGCGAAGCTTAATTACTCAAGTTATCTAGGAGCTTATTCATGTAAACTAGAATCTTGAGTTAATCAGATTTGTACATTAGTAACCAAAATCCTACTTGTTTTCACTTTTGTATCAATCTCATACACGGGACAACGGTGGGTCTCTTCTCATCTTTAGCTCTTTTAACCTCTCCATTTCGAGACATTTAGTAATAACCTTACTTTTGAGAACAAAAATTAATCTACCTGTATATTCATAAAGAAAGATTTTGTGACACAATATGACTGGCTATACGCTAGATAAATAAAGTGACAGTTTGGAGATACGGAAGTATGAACAGTTATCATTAGTTCGTATTAGTATGACTCCACGTATTTAGAAGAGAGAGACAAATTAGATGGTAATTTTTGCCTGGAAAAAATCAAATGTAGTTAATTTTGAAACGTCACTTCACATACATACCCTCTTTCGTATTTTTTTGCAGACAAGTTTTAAATCGCCGTATAAATTTACTGCAAGATAAATAGCTATTCGTATATAATCTTATCATTTCTAAGTAATTTATTTTACAATTCATCACGACTCATTGAGTTCCTAATCAATACTCTTATCTATTGAATTCTAGTCAGATGATGAAGACGTTTATGAAGTACGGTTACCATCTGGTACTGTTCTAGGTCATCGGAAGATGAGAACAATTTATAAACAACACTTGGCTGCTACAGATGGAGCTAAATTATTGAACCGTGATAATGGACAGAAGAGCGTTTCAATACGACGTCCAGACTTCAAAGCCTTAATACAGAATAGATCTAATGCCGATTCTGAGAGACGTTTAAACGAACAAAGAAAGTACTGGGATTTAGTAACTGGTGTTCAAGGTAATTTCCACAATCGCCTTCATCTTCGTCGACAGTACTAAATATTTGAGAACTTAATAAAATGTTAAAAAATTTATTTGTATAATCTAATATGGTTTTCGTTCTTTTTCTGTTAATTTAAGGCCTTGTATATAGCCACTTAGTGTAGGTTCAGTAATAAACTAGTTATATTTATAATATGTTTAGGATCATGTTAATCTGAGAATCCTAAAGTTCACTCTGATCTGGCTTCCATCACTGATGAAAACTTTAATCTACCATAATTGTAATACTTTATCGTAGAATATTAAAATATTTTCATCATGACATGCCTATAGTTATGTTAATTTGTTATTAAAAGACTGGTAAATCAGTAGCCCATAAATGCCCTGGTACGACTGACAGTGGGGAGAGTCAGCCTCCACTCTCGAAATACTCATATGTCCACGCGTATACAGCCATTGTCAGAGAAGTCCTACTCACTGCATTCTCGTGGAGGAGGTGCTGTTTACGAAATAGGGAATACGAAAAGCGAATGTCCGGTGCTTTAACCGGGTTGGTGAATATGGAGGATCGATCCACCTAGGGGAGTTGGAAAACCCTGATTCCAAACCAATGGTGCATGTAGGCTCCAGGGTCCTAAGGGAACAGAAGGTGTATGAAGTAAGTGTTGGTCACCTTCTGCCATAGGACTGCATCTCCTGACGTTGCTCATGTGCCTCAGTGAACCACCTGCCTCGGTTTGGGAGTCTTGGCAGTACCCCAGCCCTCACACAAATCAAATGACTTTTGCGGTGCATATATATCTGATGCCTCCTCGTACCAATATTTATGTGTTTAAATATATAAAATAAAGTGGTAAATCAGTTTCGAAGTTCCTAAGCTATCTCACAGATTACGGATGCGAAGAAAAAGCGTATGACGATTCCTAATGCTCTGCAAAACCATTGTTACTATAGTGGAGAAAGTTTTCTCACTATTAACTTTTCAATTTCATCACCAGTATGTTCATATTAGTATCAATGAATTTTAAGACATCCAGGATTGTATATGCACCCCTTTAGTTTGTAGAAATGGAAATGTAATCAGATTCAAAAATTGTATGTTTGGTCACTCGACGGGAAATAAGCTCGTACTTCTTCAGTTTGTCTGCTTATTTAGCTTGCTGTGCAGCATTGTTAACAAAGTATGACAATTGAAAAGTACTATGAACTAGTAATATTGCACTTAAACGCAACGGTAAGACCCAAAAACGTCTGAATTCAAAACCAGAAGTATGATGCCCTATTACAAAATAATCACAAGTAGTAATGAAATACTTAGTGTCCAATGATTTAAATAGTCATTCACAACACAGGCTTACTTCACCAGCAGTTTGCAGCTCTTCCTGACACCATACCATGATTTCAAAGCTATCTAAGCAGATCCTTGACAAATTTAATCCGGAATATAAAGTATTAGTGTTTCTCTGCCTTAAGTACTGCCTTGCTAATAGTCAAAGATTTGCGACAAAAGACAAGTAACCATGTCATTAAGTTTCAACTGATTTTGAAATTTAAAATTGTGAAAGGTTTTGCATAGTTTGGAATTTGATTTTACAGAAGGTTCATATGCACTAGTTTTTATTAATAAAGCTGTTTAAAATTAAATATAACACACGAAATCTTGTCGACCTTTAAAAAACATCCGTAGTGTGATCACACGCTTTCAGTTGTTATTACTTTCTAAAAGATCCCATACTTCAATCCTCCAAGTGCTCTAGTATGGTGGGGTTGGGAGAACCCACCCCCTCTCGAAATTCTCTCATATGGCCACCGCTATGTAAGTTCTGTTCATTGCTTTCTCGAAGCCGGAAAATTGAGAGGACGAGAAGCGGATATTCGGCGCCTAAATCGGGTTGGTAGGTACTATGAAAACAGGTAAGTTTTAGAAACTTGATTTCAAACCGGTGGTGCACATGGATTCTGAAAGGTCGAGTAGTGCATTAACCTACTCCTGGTCACTGGCTGCTATAGGACTGTATCTTCTAAAGTTACTCCACTGCATTGTGGACCAGACCTGTAGGTTAAGTGCTTGGGGAGTGGCTCCCTAGTAAAACCATTTGTTGCAGTTGATGCATCCAGACAGTAACCCAGCCCTCACACAAATCGAATGACAAAGTGTGACGCATGTTTATTTGGTGCCTCCTTGTACCAATGTTTATGTGCTTAAGTAAATTCATTCGTATTGTTAAAATATCATTCATGTTTAGGACTGCAATTGACCAGTCTTCTTTACCATATTTGCGGATTGCTCTGATATTGTCATTACGTTACAAGCATTATAAGCAGTCGAGTGGTGTCTAAAAGTGGGATGGATAACATGCGTTGTTTTGTTCGGGACTCATCGCAGAGTTGGCTTTCATCCAGTACCATTCACTTCAAATGCCACCGCGTAATCGACTTAGCTGCTGAGTCTAGATTAATTTGTATCAATTGTTTGAATCTTCCCATTAGTGATTAGGACCCCAAATTCCAAGTTGTTTATTGAGGATAATCTCACTTAACTAGCAAAAATTCAGCAATTTCAGAATCCGACGATCCACGTTGTCGTTTTAGATTTCAGTGTTATTAACTATTGTAGGTTTAATTTCTCCGAATGCAACGATTGTAATAATTACTAAATAAGCAGATTTTTGCTAACTAGTCATGTAGCTTCATTGTAAGGTTTGCAGCAAGCGATACTAATTAATGTCCCATCAAAAATCCCATTTAAAATAGACTTAGTATCGGAAGCGTACAAAATGTTGCTTACAGTTGATGAAAGTAATCGTACTATTCGTGTAGTATACATCAATCGGAATAACTCGTTTGCACAACAATGCGACTCATCACTTGCAATGTGTAGGTGATGTTTGCTGAAGTCTACTGAACTTTTCTGCAAATAACTTAAATGCATGCTATGTAGAACAGATTTGCCTGCGATAGGTCGAAAGTACATTACCACTACATGGGTATCGATATCAAATTTTGAGAATGTGAGTTGAGTGTAACATGTATGATGAAGCTATACTTGTAGCTCAGGCCGATCCTTTTGATTGTCCCTCTTCTAAGTTGGGTCTTTTAATTGCGAAGCATTCATTGGCACCAATATTGGTCGGCAGTATTGACCAAAACAACATAGGAAGCTTCGCAATTGAACCATAGTCTATAGTGTAAACAAGATTAATCTCCTCAAACATCTGATCTTCAGTTCATGGACTATACTTTTAAACGACTTAATTGTCAATATTTAAAGAAATAAACAATAAAACTTGGAAAACCACTGAGCTAATAGATCTTATTTCTTGTTGATTGATGCAAAATCCCTTCCAACGAAAAAGTACACAAAGAAACCTCTTCAGTATGTGAATCATTTGCTTTGCTCTCACACTACCTCGCATATATAAAATTTGTTCATACAATTCATTTAAATACTGAATGTTAACAATAATACAAACGAGACAAATAGGATAATAAGCATGAACAACTTTGTTTTAAAAAAAATAAGAAGAAATGAAAACTGTTATCAAGAGTTCAAATTAAGAAACACTGAAAGGAGCAAAACATGCTAAATGTTTGTGTGTGTGTGTGTGTGTGTAACAAACCTATCATCATCCCTCATGGATTGAAAATAATAGTGAAAAATGTGTAAAACTTAAAGGAGAAGTGAATATTCGTTAAGCAAGATTATCCATACTATTATCTGAGAGCAGTAGATAAACGAATGATTGATTGATAACAATAACGTATATGTCAAATTCTAATAACCTCTAGATAATATGAACAGGAAATGAATAGCACTAACCAAAACTGATACAGTTAAGAATATATGGTCATATATGCACCTAGAAAGATGGATAGATCAAAGTAGTTCAATATAATATAGGAGGAAAGGAATTGAGGTTATTGTTACAATTCGAAGTAAAAATTTCTAAAACAATTCACAACTACAAATCAAATTTTCCTAAAGTCATTTGTATATATAACATAGTACTGAATAAGAACAAAAAAAAGATTAATAAAGAATAAGCTTTCATCACATACATAGCACAGATTAGGATACATTGTGTAGTGTTTTTATTTACTGGCAAATAATAATAAATATGTAGAACATTTCAAAATTGATATCCATTCATGCGGGTTAATATTAGCAACGATAATGTACACAATCCAAACAAAATGCGCAAATAAAGGTCAATTGGAAGAAAACTGTAAATTATGCATAAAATTAGGAGAGAAAATGTTTTTGCACGTTTATTTGGACAATACTGTAGACTAAAATGAGATAAATTTGTTGGAAAATTATCATTTCTTCTTACTCAGAATCACTGTCATTTACCATTACAACAACACATTTAAAGAGAAATGCATTGTCAGACATTAAATTAAGGTATAGTAGTAATTTTGCATTAGTTAAATAATATTAAGATATTGATTTCTCTGTATTGTATGGGTGTCAGGATGCGAAGTAGTGTTGGTGGTGCTCAGTTTAAAAATCATCAAGAAAAACTGTAGACATGAAAAGTCAAGTTAATTTATTACCAGTGTATACCACTAAGGGTCATCATAGATACTTGGGGTGGCCCAGACCGTGTATTCGAGAAAAATACCTGTAGTAATGTAAACAAATTATCTTGATAGATTAGATATGTTGTCGCATTTCTTAAAGAATAAAAATTATAGTTATTTAGAATATTTAACGACATAAATAAAAGAATTGAGTATTACCTCATGCTTATTTGAAGGATAGTTAGTGTCTACCAAGAGATATCTAGTCCTGACTCTCCAAGTAAGCGCTTTTATATTGACGTATAGAGTCTGTTTTACACAGACAACTAAAAATTTGATGGCTTCTATATTAAGCGTTCTGAAGTAGTCATAGTTATTTCACGGGTGAACATTTGCTAAGGGATTCAGAGATTTAGTCTTACTCGACCAGCCTATGATTCTGTTTTTAAAAACCTGTTCGACTGGAATTATCAGTTTTGTTACCTGTGGTCATTTCACTACTTCGTCAATCAAGTGTGCCATCGTAAAGCTAAGTATGCACTCTGAACAAATTAATAAGCAAAAGAGTTTCATTTCTTTTAATAGTTTTAGTTCATCATTATAATTGTAAAGTTCAGAAAGCGTCCCAAGATTTCAGTTAAGCCATTCTAGAAGAATTAGTTTGATGCGGATACATCCAAGACGATAACTTGTTCTGAAAGAATGGTACAGTTAATTTTAAACAATTAGGACTTTTAGATAGAAAAATAAATTTAGAAGACTATCATCTGTAACACTTTTAGTGTAAAATAATGACTACACATTTTAGGGCATTTTTGTAGAAAAAAGTCTTTGGATTTATTAAAAATATTCTTCAGTTTAATGATCATATCTAATATACATGGAATGATCTAAGCAGAATTCTTGAATTGTACAACAGACCCATATGATATTATCTTGCTTGAATATCTAATTCAATATGAAATCATACGTTCTTTCCAAGTGAATCAATAAAACAACTAACCTTATCATTACGTTCACAAAGAAATTTGAATTTCTGTTCACGTTTATGCATGAATACTCCATCTAAGTGTCCAGTTTCAGCTGATCTAACTTCAATAGCTTTTAAACCCCAACCAAGTAATTGACCGGTAGATATATAGGCTACACAAGTTGGAACTTCACCCCATTGGATAACGATATTTTTTGTTAGTTTTCCATTAGTATCTACATAAACACCTTCAGCTAAAAAGAAAATCGATGCAAGAAAGCGGTTTTACAGTAAGTCCATGTTACTCTGTGAAAGGTGCTGATCATAAGAAAATGGATTAAATGCAAGTTTTTACTTAATGTAACTATTATTGTTCTGACGATGGTCTTTATTCTTGATAGATAGAGCGAAGAACCACTGACAAATATGAAAAGTTCCAATGTTGGCAAATAAAATACATCAATTCCAAGGTTAAACTGTTTTCAGTGAAATGTGACTGTAAGAAATTCAGAAGGAAAAATAGTCAAAGTACTGGGAAGTTACAAACCAATTTGATGGCTTACAGTGTTCTATGTAAATAGTCTTAGCGAAAACGCCGATATTTCATGGAATACAAATGAATATGGCTGACAAGTCCCAGACAGTTTGCTTTCATTTAATCTATAAACACTAAAAATTTACTATTGTGGGACAATGAAATGTGAACTAATAAATCGATAGTAATATATGAGTATAAATAAAACTTACTGTCGTAGCATAAAAGTAACTGCATACCACCTGTATTAGGAAGTACTACTATACAATGAGGAGTAATATGTGAATTAATCTAAATATAAAACAAGGAAAAAGCAAAAAAAGGAATTTAAAATTAATACTTTAGGGGGGGAAACAGTCACTATCTTACAAAAACATTCAACAAGACAAGAGATTTGCAATTTTGAACGTAATCAAATTCGATTACGCGGTCGATTTCTTTAGAAATTAGACTAATGAATAAGTTTTCATCAAATAACTGTTTTGTTAAGTCTCTTTTCTCACGATAAATTTTTGTATGATAATTAAACAGGTATGAATGCTATGATAATCCGCTGTTGTCCTGCTGGATTAGCTTCCAAATACCACATGATATTGCGGTCATTTCAGTTAATGTATGATGTCACACTACATAGATATAAGCTGCTATTTTTTCATACATAGTTCGGATATTACTTTTTTATAACAATAACTTTCTAATGAAATACACCAATCCCCAGTGTTCACATGAAAAAAATCACTATTTGCGAAAATAAAACTTAGACTCCCTCATTATTACTTTTATTTATGTAAGAAATCTAGCATAGATTTGAAAAATGTTTGCATCTTTATCAGAAGCACAAATTTATGGTAAATGCCAGATGACTCATGCACACATATACCTAATTATTGTATAGTAAACAAGTTTACAAAACGATATCCTACCAAAGAAGGCATATATAAGTCGAATACTATATTTGAATCCAAGTCAATAGCATGAAAACCATCAGATGAACCATATACAACTTTTAAACGGGTGTTCTCTTCAACGGTTAAATCTACCAATAATGGCCGATGTTTGAGTTCAGAGAATCTCTGGTGAAAAATGAAGAAGAAATACAAGGGAAATAAAAATACGACAGATAGTCCTATAAAATATATAACACATTCATATTTAACTAATAATAATAATAATAATAATAATAATAATAATAATAATAATAATAATAATAATAATAATAATAATACAATTTCTGTGAATGTGATCGACAAGAAATCAAGACAGCGATTGGGGTAATTTAGTGGAATGACATTGAAGCATGTTTATTATAATGGTCAAATAGTTCAGTTGATCAATTATAGAAAATGAACATTCACCATTGTTATCTCACATTTATTGAATAAGTTTCCTTTTCTATCACAAACTTATCATAAAAGGCTGTTATAGTATCCAATTATCTATGAAAAAATCTACTGAAAGTATTCACTAGGGAGGGTGAAATATCACGTAAGATTAAGTCATTACAGTGTTTTAATTAGTATAGCTAGGTTTGCGGACATAGCAGAATTTTTATAGTTTGAATCGACCTGAGTCTAGCTAAACAACTACTGAAAACCAGGAACGACTTGATAGCTTTGTCAGTTTAGTATGGAATTCATCAACAGTGCTCATTTACAACCCCACCTGGAACCGAACCCATGGCCTTCGGTTTCGTTTGCGAGCGTTCAACCTTTAGATCATTAAGCCGACATCCGATGATGTACATGTTTGACTAAAATAGATTAGCGATACTGACTGACCATCTTCGATTGCCTGTAGTGGACAACTATATCATACATGACAATGTTGAACTCCACTAGTTATGGCTTCCCACTAAAACTGCGAGAATTGCATCTGGAACCTAGCCACCGGTGAGCATATGATTATTATTAGTACAGGAAGGTTTGTGTAGATTGCAGAATTTAATAATTCAAATTCACTCTACTACAGTTTTACATCACTGATGAATATACGAAAAAAGTTTGCTGGGAACTAGAGAGCCCTGAGTACTAATCAGCTTCTCTTAGTCCAGAATACTCCAGCAATAAATACTCTAAAATCCAGGATATCTAATTATAACATTACTACTGCATATACATAACCGGGGTCCAGAATAAGCAATATGCGATCCCAGCTAATAAGAAAACTTGTGCTTAATTTAAAAGCTTAATTGATGAGCGAAATATATTATTGGCCGACCAACTCAAATACCAAATACAAAGTGCTATGCACAAAAACATCACACTTCAAAAAAAAACACAGAGAAAACTGAACGAGGGATTAAAAGACTTGAGAATATTTGGAAAAAACACCAAAACAAGAAGGCTGAAGGTTAAGTGTATGTTGAATAGAAATTGTTCAACTATTTAGATAAAATAGATAAATGTATTTCTATTTCAATTTATTATAGGCCAAATTACCTACAGTAACAACCATTTTCCTGTGACTCTCTCGCATTAGGGTCCAAAACAAAAACCAATGAAGTGACTATTTTTAGAATTCCTCTAATATTTTTCACACACAAAACTCTATTAACTGCCCTCCTCATTTAAATAAAACATTTGCGTTTCACTGTTTGATCACAAAATTCATTCAATGTTATGATATACTAGTCATATTGTTTAATTCACAAAATAATGTCCAGTTAAATTAGAAATACTAATAAGATTTGGTTATAATGAAAACTTACTTTGAAAGCCATAAATTTATGATATGGACGAGGTGCCCAAGCATAAATCTCTACAGAATCTCTCAACGCGATGACAAGGAATTTAATTTTTTCATATTTTACTGTGAAAAGAAATTTTAAAAAATCGAAAGGAGTGAAAAAGAAGAAAACAAATTAAACTGTTACTGGTTAAAAAAATTGTTGTGCTTTATTTTTCCGAAAAAGTTAAGCAAAAACTAACATCATAAGAAGCATCCATACTGTTGTATAGTAAGTCTTGTGTATTAGCATGTCTTGGACTCCGCGTGTGGTAACAACATAGATCAATCATTTCCAAAACATTCACATCACGTCTTATATCATCTTGCATGACAAATAAAGTTCTATTATTCAGCTAAACAGTGCATATAATATCATAAAGGTGAAAATCATCCAACATACAGAATATTCGGAGCGACTATGTTTATAGAACCAATAGGTCAGTAACGTCTCAGTTTTTAGGATATATTTGGAAAGTGGCTAAATTTTCGAAAACAATTCTCTAAAAACACAAAATTATATATGGATAACACAAGATCGATATAAGCACTATTAAGGGACCTAAGACATCTGGGACCGTACGATATATATATATATATGTATATATAATGAGATGACCAGTATAAATTATATTTCAATAAGAAAAATAAGGGAGTGTAACATTCACTAAACAGTAACGCAGAGGATACAATCGTGTATATATACATGAAACATTGAGAATCGGACTTACCAATTTTAAAATGTACAGCACCTTGTAAATTTTCACCGACATTAACCCAACCATTCTTCTTGTCACACTAGTTAAAAGAAAATGAAACGTTAGTAATCGATCTGCTTATGCAAATGTTGAGTAATGTTTAAAAATTCATAAGTTAACCTGAAGTTCAGCTGACACGCTTCGTTACAGTTCAGTATTGAAAGAAAAACCGATAATAGTCTAAAAATAATTTTACTTTTAATAGGAAAAGTGGTTAAGATGCGTCACACACCATTCATTGCGGAGAATTCAATAACTTCAGAGTTTGAAGATGATTATTTTCATTATAGTAAGTTCCATTTTCAGTTTCAATCAACTGGTAACCTAATATTTGTGTAATATGTTTTAGTGTAGATAACCAAGGAATTGGAAATTTTTTGATTTTATTTCTAATAATGTGTATGATTGAGAAGTCCTTCAAAAGGATATACTTCGAAAAGAAATGTTACGAAATAAAAATAGTTGAATACTCAGACCTAAGACTTAGAGAATAATAAAAAGTTGATCTGTCTATACCATTATGTCTGACTTTAAGTTATTATCTAAAATCTCCAAGTATGTATCGTCTAACAGACACTAACCAGGAAAGTTTGTAACTCCCATTATGGTTCAGACGAATAATCAATGACTTAGTCTGATCTCCCTTTGGAAATTTTCTCAAGCTGCTCTTTTATGCTAGTCAGCAGAACAAAATGACAGATTCATATTATTGTATACTAAACATTCAAAGAACACTATAATTTACTTACTCCTTCCGTTTTCATAATTTTACTACGAAGCCAAGATAAATAGTACACGCGTACACGATTTTTACGTCCAGATATAGTAACTAAAATATTCTGACCTTCTAAAACAGCCATCCTTGAAAATCTTCGTCTTGTAATTAAAGAATAAACTACAAAATTTTGATCGGGAAAAAAGTAAAATGAAAACAAAATAGATGGGTGAAAAAAGAACATCGAATTTTAAATGTGGTTTTATTAACTGAAAAAAATACTGTTCTAGAATCACGAGTTTAACGGTATACATTAAATACAACCCGAAAGTCAGTTTTCTTTCACGGGTCATTAATGTAGCAGAGTTTCTATACAATAAATGAAAAAACATAAAACCTGGAACACAATAATGTAGAGCATATTTCTATCTACATTTAAAGAGATTATAGATTGTGTATCAAACAAAATGAGTTAGCCAAGTACTTTTGGAAATAAATCCATTCTGATTATTTTATAAAAACAATAGATGACACTCTAATAAAAATAAATTGAATTGAATAGCGGTGAATTTTTAGTGATCATGTTACATAGTTGTATAAACTACTTCAAAGTTAATCAGAGAGTTAGTCAGTAATAACCAACAAAGAATCTGGATCAGATAAAGTCAAAGTATCATATCAGCAAAATCACGAACAATTATCAAGATAAATGTTACAGTAGTAGAAAGACTCACAGTATCAGTGTTAGTAGAAAAGATTAAACATAGCGTCAAAGCTAATAAGTAGCATGAATAATGAAATACCTATTTTCATTGATACGTACTATAATTAAGCTGTAGTTTTATGAGTAATGATATTTTCACATAAAAATGCACGATCAAAGCATATAAGTCGTCATTGATTGAAGGAAAAATCCACTCAACTACATTTTTTAGTTACATCATATAAGTTTAAATAAAGGAAAACGTACAAAGTTGCGTATTTTGTAAGTTTTTACTTTAAAAAATCTGTCAAATTTTCAAATGAACACTCAAAATTCAGTGGAATATTATTCCATTCCAACGATTTATGCAATAAGCGTATCTCAACAAACAATAGGTCAACGCACAGCAACGACAAAAGATTAACAAAATGAAGAGATTTATATCAGATCCTCGAAAATAACATATTTTTCTCCCAAAATCCAATAAATATTGAGGATTTTATCAATATACTCACGAAATGTCTAGAGTCTGCACTCGCAGATTGCGCTTTATTTATAAATAAAACACGTCTTTACTATTTTTGCATACTTTATAACCATATGAAAAAATACTCCTAAAAAAAGAAATGAGCCATTACGTTCTACTTTATTGCAAATAAAATGATCAAACGACGAATTCATTTTGAAATCCGAAACAAACCTGCTTTGTTATACACAAATAACACATCTCATGCTCATTTAACTGATCTTCACTGGAATAAAACTTCGGGAAGATGAAGTTAGAGAACACAAAATTTGAGTTTAAACTGAATAATACACACCTAAAGACGTTTATCGTTTACATCATCAACTGGTTTTATTCAGATAACTATTGGAAACCAGGACAAATTAGGCATCTATTTCGTCCTAGTGTGGGTCTGCTCAGCAGTACTCGTCAAGTAGTTTCGGACAATTTCAGTTTATAGTCAACACATTTCTATTGATGTAAAATTTCATGATTGTGTAACATAATAATGCATGTACATATGCAATAAGATATATATATATCTTGGGAATAACCATAGATTTTGAAATTTGTCTCAACTGTTATTTATTTTAACATATAAATATTGGTACAAAGGGGCACCAAATACATATGTACCACACAAGTCACTTGATTTGTGTTTTGGGTTGTGATACTACCCGGGTGCCCAGACCGAAGCAACTGTAATTAAAATCAAAGCAACTCAACTTTATTATAAAACATTTAGAACAATGAAGATCACATTCCAACGAGAGTGATGAAGTCCCAAAATAAAAATAATATTTAGTAATCTTTCTATATTACAGAATTTGCTATAGATTAAATGACTTACCACGACCTTCACCACTACGATCTAATAAAGAAAGACCCGTTTCAAGACCAATCAGTAAATTTACACCCCACATAGATGCACACAAAATTTCCGAATTAAAACGCTTTTTATAAACTTGTATTTCCGGTGTATCATTGTTGTTTAAACTAGAATTTGTTGTTGAAATATTATTTGAAGCAGTTGATATACAACCAGCACCACCGCTAATACTTGTAGGTAATAAATATGAACCAGTTGTAATAACTGTACTTGTTATTGTACTAATTGATGGTAAATTAAAATTCAGTAAATTACCACATAATGAATTAGGCAAAGCGATTGATTTGATTAAACCACCACTGTTGCTAGATGATGAAGGATTAGAACTTGACTGTGAAAGTTGTATATCTAACTGGAAATCCAGAAGAGAAGAAAAGAAAGACAAATCAAAGAAAGAGAGGATTTTCTTTTCTTAAAGAAAGAAAAAAGGTAATCGTATTGATTAACAAGAGTTATTGAAAAGATTGATTCAACACAATGACGATAATACACAAATTATAAATGATCTATATGCAAAATTCAATCAAGAAGAAACAAGGTGAGAAATCATACACAATGAGTTATATGAACTACGTGAGAAACATAGACAATAACATTGATGAGGTAAAACAAATTAACAAACGCATGAAAGACAAACACTTAAACTATTGAGTTATCTTTGTACGTATTATTAAACATGGGAATTGGAATATCCTATAAGTTGTCAAGTCGAGATAAAAATTGAAATGTCCTCAAACTACATTTCAAGCTATCATCCCTTAATACAGGTATATACTTCAGCAAAATGCCGCTTAACCAAATATAATCATTCCATAATCGTAGAAATCAATTACATATATATGTACAGTTATCTTACAAAACATGAAGTGTGTAAGAACAGTGAATTTATTTCAGAATCTCAGTTTTAGTGTTTTGCATAGTCAAAGTAGTTGAACTGAGACTGGCTCATAATTTGTCTTTCGATTAAATTAACCGTTTTGTTATGTCTTATGGCCCATCAAATACAAAACCACCAATGAAAAACTGATTTCTGTGACCTTGTCCCTGTGCCAAACCAATAATTCGTTAACCAGAACCAGCGGTCTTGAGTCCTTATTGTTTCTTTGTACAGTAACTTCTTACCTAGCCCAGCTCGTTCAGTCCAGAATACAAATGCCAGTCTATTATTTATTAATCGTATATTTCAGACACACTTGGTTTATATACAAGGAAACCGGACAGCACCGCATCATAAAATGAAAAACGATACTTAGGCAATATCAAGACAAAAGTGACTGTGAGTATAGGAGACTGTAACTAATAAATTGGGAATAAATTATGAATGGTAAGTCGTATAACAGTAGTCACTAGGTCAAATGAAAGCATAAGAAAAAAAGGAATACGATTATATATTGTAATCTAGTTACTCAATAATTACTCAACAGAAATATATGTATTAATGGTTTATAATAAGTTCTAGCAGCTACCATTCACTTAATCTTCGTTTGGATATACCACTTATGTTATTCAAATGACTATAAACTCAACCAGTAGATGGGAATACGTATATGTAAACTGTAACAAGGAGATTACATATATACTATCCATATGATGTACAACTCATTATTCGTTCGGTTCAAGTCGTCAGCAGGAGAGCATGTGATATCCTTAGTTATTTAGTTATATTGGTATTTTTTTTAAAAATCATTACTAGCAATGACTTTTATAATACGTACTAGTTGATGATAGTAACACTGTTCAAATTTTTTTAAGGAATCAGTCTACGTGAATTTCGAACGTCTTTTTTTGAAAGCAGCTACCGTGTTAAATCACTGCACGTGAATTGATAATAATGAGTCGTGTTTTCTACAGATCAACAAATAAATATATGTGCATGCGTCAGAATAAACATCTTGAAAGATACTATACCATCCACTAAATTACTAGATTTTGCAACTGATCAGTTGAAATTTGAAGATGAGTATATATGACAAAATACCATTATGGCAACTACTAAATCTTTATGACTAACTAACCTATGAATATTTGTGACGAAAATTGTCCTGAAATACAATAATTAAGTAATGTATCTAGACAATCTGGGCTAATGAAAGGAAACAGACATAGCTGTATTCACTATGTATAAATGGCTAACTTTATAAGTCCCATTTTGTGTGTGTTAATACACTTTATTTATTGACATTGGTTTTTGATAAAATGGTCAGACGTGTCAGCAACTGTTTAACAGAGTTCGAGATATATAACACTAAAATTATTTAACAACTTAGTACAAATTAAAAATCTCCTTAGAGCTCTAAAATATTTAGCCTTAAATAAATTTATAGTCTATTGATACAATAAATAAAGAACGAATAATAACTGAAGGTCATAAAAGGACAAACGATAACAAGGTAAGTAGAAAAAGTTTTTTTAATATATCAACTCTAATGCATCCAAGTAAGAAAAAGTGGTCAAGTTTAATCACCTGGGTTTTCGATTTTTGACCTCCACGTGGACTTGGCTCTGAAACTCGAGAACCAAGATTATTGTTTGTTTGAACTGACCAAACTGAACTAGGAAGTGCTTTATTTGAGTCTGTAATCACTACAGACTGAGGAGAGATTTGTGGACTCGTTTTCTGAGCTAAGTTGGATTGTCCTAATGAATGTTGGTTGGTCGGTATATTTGTACATATATCAGTTTGTTGATATGATGGCTTGTTATACGGACCGCCTAGAACAGCAGAAGTAGCATCTGTAGAATGTGGTGGTGGTGACGGTGATCGAGTTTCTTGTATTTTTGTACATCCTGAAGAATGGAAGTGAAGTATAAATGAATAGCGATTAACAACAATCCATTCACAAAATTCTGTACTTATGTGGGACACTGATCTCATAAATAGGCTACACGATTACAATCTCAATATAGCAGATAAACTAGGAAGCGGTGAACTGATGTTTGATAGTTTTAGATAATAATATTCGATGAGTTATAACTCGGTGACTAGATTATTGTAGCACAAAAGTGGACCTTTATCGTGAAGGAAATTCATTTTCTATTGCATATTGCTCATCGTTAAGTTATTTGTATCTTTAATAACTAATTCACATATAGAAATTCTAAAATGAGTGACGGCTGGTAATTTCAAAGTCTAATTCACTAAAATCTAATAACAATGATAGCCAAAAAGAAATAGATGAACGTGATCAAGGCTTTATGGGAATTGTTGTAAGGCATAGAATTATCAAACGCCAACAGCTACAAAGATATTCACTGGTTTATAAACTAAAAATGTTGGTACCTTTCACGTTATTTTGCATGACAATTAATTTATTATTATTATTCAACAAAAAAGTTTACGGAACATCATAGTCATTTGGAGTTATAATATAGCTCATTTATTAAGCACAAGTTGATATGTACTCGAATTTGAGTTATACTTTAGTTGAATGGCGACTAATTGTACCACACAACTACCACAAAAACCGAAGTAGATGAGATGAACCTATTGGTTGAAAGTTGAGAATTTCAATCTCTTCATAACATCGTCTTAAAATAATCTGTCGAAAAATCAAACCATTATCTTGATATCTTTAACATTAAATTTTTTATAGATTTAATGATAATTAAATGACATATATAGTTTGTTATAAAAACACACAATGATTTTCTCTCTATCCAAAATTATAAATGGACAGTAGAAAATCGATATAAGAATTTGTAAACAAGTTAGTGCATCTCTCTAGGGCAGCGTTGTTTACATACTGAATTGACCAATTTAATTTACATTTCAATGGTAAAGTGTTGGCAGAGTAACAATACATAAATTATATGGAATGAATATAACAAATATTAATTTTTTTTTAAAAAAACATATAACTAAGGGACAAGGATCACTTGAAAAATTATTTATGAGCTCGTATATCAAATATTGAAAGTAGATATTATACTAAATAACTAATAGTATTATTTTAAATGTCAAGTGCTTGAATCAATATCGATAAGCCTAAATCCTTGTAACAATGTATTTTGTTGACTGTAAAATGACTGTATAAACTATAAATATACAAACGATGGTCATTGGTTAGATATATTCTAACATATTCACTTTTACTAATGATAAATGAAATATTTATATTACCTTCTTTTTCATTTGTAATTAATTTTGATGACGATGTATGCGGGACACCAATATGTGAAACATTTTGAGATGAACTTGTAACTTTCACCTTATCTGTACATGAAGACAGATCAGTTGTGTTTGGATAACCATTTGAAACAGTGTACTAAACAAAAGAAATAAAAGTATTTAAGCGAATAAATATTTACACTTATATATTACTGAACAGAAAGTGATGTCACATGGTCTATTCCTCACCAATTTATCAAACTCAACATCCAAGGTCATAATGGTAGATTTGGACCTATGTTTCTTGATACTTGGTACTCGTCAATAAGGTGTATTCCTCAATCTTGTAGGACTTGATATTCTCTTCATGATTTCAACATGGGTATCATAGACAGAAAGCTAGGTTACCATTGAGTTATTGGCGAAGTTGCTAACTTCCTATAGAAGCGAGATATTCTCAAATATTTTGAAAATAGCTTTTCTTTTTTACTTCGCAAACGATCTACCACATACTTTGCATGAGGTACAATTTCCTATTGCTGATATTCTGAACTGAAATTGATCAATCTCTGATGGTGTATTTGTATTCTGAGTGGATTCACTCAATATTGCTTTCAAGTCACAAATTTTTAATATAGTTGGTGTGAGTCTTAGTGCAAAAACTCTAACGCTGGAATCCAAGAACATTCAGTTGATGAGTCCGAGAACGACGAGACCTATCTCATAGATTTCAATACTAGCTAAAACCCAATCCTTATAAAATCTATGAATTACATCTGTGTTTATTTCACTCGGATGCTAATTGTACTGAGCTGTGATCAAACCTACATTATGTGATAATGTGTGAACAGCTCAAAATAAAAGCCAGTAACAGTCCTACTGTAGTTTTCTTTTACATTTTTCGTAAAAGTATGAGGAATTTGTTTAATTCAAAAAAGTCTTCGTGATTGTATTCTCAGCTGAATTGTATCTCCAATCCTACACTGTTTTTATTATACACCCCAATGATACTACATTTAAATGGTGCAAAGCATTTGAGGGGTGCCCAGTTGTTTCAGAATTTATATATAATAAATAATAAAAAGTAACACACTTCGGTATACAAAACTGATGATTGTATATATAACCCCATCCATGCATATATATGTATAATATGTACATACACGTGTAGTCTTATATAAACTGATCATTTTTATCTGTTATAGAGAAAAGTTTAGCAAGGATAATCTCATAAACAACGAAACAATTAGACTACTATAGACGAGTAGAGAAAAATTATTAATTGCGTACTTGACTTAATTGTGATTAGTAAGACAGAGAAAAAAAGTGAATTTCATTTCAAAGTCAAATGGTTGGTATATTAAACAGAGTACGAACATCAAAATTTGTTCTGTTTACATTTATCAAAGAATCAAGAAGTACGAAATAGTCAATTGTTAAAATTGATTAGATAGAAATAAAAGACTTAAAAAATAATTATGGTTTGAATGAAATAGATTATTTTGATGAAAATATGCACAAACTAATTTTAATTCAAAACAAATTATTTCACTATGAAGATAAAAAAATTACATAAAGATTTTGTATGCTACTCATTTTAAAAGGATTAAAAATATTTGAAATGAAATCCTTCATGCAAAATGTTAACTTTACAGGAATCCAGTAAATTCATTAAAAGACAATTATCATGAAAAGAAATATTATCTGGATCAACTCAATGTTTAATACTGGATCAATAATGTGTCTAAGGATCGCTTTGTAATTCAACAACGAAAGATTGTACATGCATATATAACAAAATTATCGGGTCGTATGCTTAAACGAATAGCTGCACAGCAACAATTAAGATAAGGTATATACATTAATTAAGATAATACTTATATTTATAGGCTACAGATACTATGAATTTTATTATTGTATATATTTTCTTATTTATTTAGCTACACACAGTATATACCTGGAAATATTATTGAAAACCATAAATATACTTACAAACATATTTTAAAACAAGCTAAGAATTATCAATTTACGTTTATAAAATTACCTAAATATGATCTGGATATACTAAATAAATTAGGTGGATTGCTTAAAATTTCGTTTTTGTTACAACGCTTATTACAATTCTCCGGTGTTTACATTATTAGGGATCTGGTTGTATGAATCATATGAAAATGTAGGGGGCTTTAGTAACATTGGATTTTTTTATAGTACTCCCAGCATGCCTGAAGTAAATTTTTTTGCAATGAGCTGAAGATGTCATAATGTAGACTTATGTATCATATTAAATAAAACTATTATTATAAATATTCTTATGAGATAAAATTCAGAAAACCTATTGACTGGTCTTCAGAACACAGAGTGGAACACAACTGTATTAGGTGTACTTCTCAAAACATACTCCTCATGTGTTGACGTTACATTATCGTAAAAAAAACATTCTCAACAACACGATTTCGAATAACTTATCAATAATTTGACTTCAGATTATGATTATCGTTAGTTTTGTTTTAAAAGAATTAAAGAATATTTGATAATATACTAAGTAGATTATTGGTAGTTTTAGGTTCTCTAACTAAAATTGACATATAAACAGATAAATTTAACTGTGTAAATCGGCAACATAAAGTCTAAGAAGACTATTTCTTTTAACATAACAAGGTGCTTCAATCGAAAATGTATTTTTTTTAAAAATTAACAAAAATTTCAAAAAAAAACAAATTATGAGAAGTACAGTAGATAGATAAATCAGAAAAAAGATGTAGATCAAATCGTAATAACTAAAGTGATTTAAAGATGATGGTAAATTGATATAATGAAAATAATAGCAATAATAATGATAATCGAGCTCACTTTAACATTATTATTCCCAGTTGATGGATTAACATTAGATCCAGATCGGTCAATTGTCCCAGATGTAGACTCAATAATCGATGCTAAACTGCATAAAGTTTCTTTGGCAAATTCATCTGATGGTCTGTTGTATTCACATATAGATGAAGTGGCAAACCCATGAAAATTTGTGATGGATAAGACAAAATACAAAAAGCATTCAGATTAAATATTAGTATATAAAGTAATCATACAAGAAAAATACGGTTTAATTCACTGATCTACTCAATCAATTAATTTATCGGGTAACAAGTTAATGAAAAAAAACACAACTCATTTTGCATCAATTTGAATGTGAATAGTTACGCATTATCTTTAACGACCTCATACAATCTATGCATTTGTGCAGGCAATAGATGAAAGCTTGTTGAGATCTTTCACTGATCACCAATCCAGTGAAATACCAATGTTAACGACACATATAATATGAAAGAATGTTCCCCGTAAGAAATACTTCCAAACGATACAACCAATTTAAACTACAGATAAATTCAGAAAAAATGAACGACACAATATTAAATTAAATGTTTAAGGGAAGATTGAGACGTTTCAGTACTAATGGGAAGCTGATTGGTGTACTTCTGGAATTTAACAGCTCAAGGGTTTAGTGATTCTAACTGAAAAGTGGTACAAGTTGCTCTATCATAACATAATACCATTCAAAAGCAGTGAGATGAAAAACGAATTCTATTTTTCATTATAAGTCATCACTGAAAACGGTAGTATAAAATAATAAACATAATGTAAAACGAATGACTGTGTAGTAAACCATGAAGGGAAAATCAAGGAAGAAATAAAACCGTCGAGAAAATTGGTGTAAGTTAGATTAGACAATTAGGAAAAAATCCATTTTAATTTCATTAACTACCAACTGATCAGTTTAGGCAGTTATATCAAAGTTGGTAAAATAAAATCAGACACTCTAATAAGCCACTAAATTGAACTATCGGTACTCTATGTAAGACAAAACTAAGCACTAACATTAATCAAACTGAACCCTCGTAATAAAACAAAATGGAACAATTCACAACTAGTAACTATAATGAGTTGGTTATTGATTGAATTAGGTTGAAAAAAACCTATTAAAACTTATCTAACGTTGAATAATCCTGATCATTACCAGCAAAAATATTCTTCAGTTATATATATATGCAGATGACAATAATAAAATTACTGACCTTATAATGAGTTACTGTTAGCTAAAAAAAACAATAGAATTCTGTCCCAAATATATAAGAAAAACTAGAAATTAACTGAGAAATGCGCTGATGTAAGTTAACACGTCTCTTAGAAAAATAAACATGTACGCAGAGAAGAGATAGATGAAGAAAACAAGTGCAGAATAATAAGATACTTTAAATGTGTATGAAAGACATAAACAATGAAGTCATTTTCCCCTAATGTTGAGTCTGTATCTATGCTTGACTAGTCTGGGATTTATTTCTAATACCTTATAATACGAACATTTGGGCAGTAAAACAAGTTTATATGAACGGAAGAAATTTTTAAAAATTGGTTTATATCACTGTGTGCATGAGTGTCAACAATGTATAACAGTTCTTCTATCACTATGAAAAATAAACTAACTGTACTAAAAGTTAGAAATTCCGTTTCCCCATTGATATAATCGACAAGATCGGGCATTATAAACAAAGTTATAGAATTGATGAAATTAATATGTAACGTAATAGGATCCTTTTTGTGTTATTATATTCTCGCAGGTGAATGGGTCAGTTACAAATGTCTTATTATACCCCTATATTGTTGTACTCAGGTTAGTTAGATAAGCCGTCTATCCGGATAGAAATAGGTCGGTTGGAATTTGAACCTTCAATTCAGTAGTTCAAAGTAACGTAGTTCTACGATCAGGATACTGTCCATTCCAAACAACGTCACAAAATTTAGTTGGTGATATTTGGTAGTGGGAGTAAGATATGACTGGTCACTGAGCATGGAAAAACAGCCTACTGACTATTAAATTTGCGATCTCCACACTTGTCATTGATTTGTACTCTGAATTCACTGGAAATGACTGCTCGTAATTAAGTGGAATAATGTACTGTTTAGCCTATACTCTAGGTTGTGAATCCGGATCTGATATAACATGTCTAGTCTTATAATCATACTAACATATCGTAGTATACTTGAGAGAGAGAATATCTTAAACTATCTGTTTTATTAGTTGGTTAACATGACAGTACAGAATGATCATAAGAAAACTGTTCAACTTATAGGACAGAGTATTATCACTAAAAAAGATACTATGTAGTGGTGAATATTTAACTATGAACCTACCTAATTCTAAACTGTGAATGAATAAATTCATGATCATTCGATGGTTAAATCTTATTGATCCCTCTTGTTTATTATATAGAAAGAATAACAAGTTTATTATGGTCAAATATTCTGTTATTTTTTAAAGTTAACTTACTAATAGAATAGAAATAAATAAATGATAAAGAAGAGATCAATTTAGTTTAAATATCCGCCTTCTTAGTAAAAACTAACAGATTAATTCAAATTTGAAGCTAAAAAATCACATGAGGTTACAATTAGACTGTGTAACAGTAATTGTGTCCCAACGGTCACAATTTTGCAATTTTGGTTAAAATACTATCGAACACCACCATTAATAAACAAGTGCTTTCTCAATAGCATCGGTTTACAGACGATCTACCGCCGATAAAAATTGTGAAATTCACTAACTAAATACAAGTTTATGTGTAAGACAGCCATATTTATTGTTACATCACTGATAGATTATTAGGTTTCCTAAACAAAAACTAAACAATGTCGTTTTCAAATCGTCAACCGAATGACTGGGAACCGAGAAATCAAACCCTCAAACTAAACAAAACATTTAGGGGTGAATGATTCCCAAAAAAATTAATGCAATACAAATTATTTCAAAATAACTAACGAGCATTGGAACACTGAATACATAAATAGTACGCTAGTCATTTAAAAAAAACTTACACATAAATACTAGAATTAAAGTGATCAAATGAGCAAAACTACTTGTTAATAATTGAATATAATGGTTAGCGATAATTGTAATCACACAATATTGATGAAAAAACAATCTCTTAGCTTGTGTGGTGTTCGTTTACTGTATGAGTACATATATACACACACGCACACATAGTTTGAACCAAACAAATGCATACATTATGGGGTAAATACCACTTCAAAGTATGAAACTTTAAAGTTTTAAAAAAGACGTTTTAATTGTTGTTGACTTTGTTAATTTTGGTAGTGATGGTGATGATAATAATTCAAGGAATGCAGAACATAGGCGCATTTAACTAAAACAAACCAAAAACTAATGGCAAAAATAACTTACTTTAAAATTGAAAGACCTGGTGCAGAATAACGTCTTGACTGATTGGATGAACCTAACTCTAACAAAATATGACATGGTGGTGAAACCACAACAGTTCGGTGTACAGGTTTAGGAAAGTGAGATTCTAAGTAAAAAGAATGACGTTTAGAGCGTGGAGGAAGCGGTGGAGGCTGAATAATTGGTGAATTAGGCATAAGATTTATTGAGTGCACCACATTGTCACTTCAGTAATGAGGATTATTAAAAAAAGAATGTTATTATATTTTTTAAATTAGCGTGAAGTTAGTTACATATAAGAGCAATTTATGTTTTTGTGTTTTTAAAGGGATTATTCCATGAATAAAATAAGAAAAGAATTTACGGTAGCGTTATATAAAAGCAAGAATTTGCAGAAAGACAAAAAAAAGAAAAACAGGCACGCAGTGAATAGGACGTGGGAAGAAAAATACAAAACAAATATGAAATTAGTCATGCATGAAAATCAATTATACAGCGTAATCAATTATCTAACTAATTATGGCTATTTCATTAGGTTATGATCAAATAAATAAAATTAATTTCAAGGGAACATGATAATGTTCATGTTGTAGGAGGAAAAATATTACTAGAAACACTAGTACAACAGAGATGAATATTAGAGAAAAAACTTACAAGGTCCCCTCTTTATGCCATCTCACTGCTGCATTGGACAACGTTCCATCGTCTACATAGCATGAGGATTCATTTGTGACAGCACTATCAACATCACCATCAACATTTCTTATCGATTCATCACATGATGATCTTTGACGTGTACGAACAATAGATAACGTAGCCCTTAACTGTTCAGCCTCTTCTAGATCAGCACCATTTTCTTCTTCTTCTTCAACAACGATGACATCACCTTCATCTTCATCCTCCTCTTCCTCTCCTCCGCCTCCAGTGTCCTCGTCATCTTCCTCATCATTCTGTATGTTGTAAGCTCCGTAGTTAAAGTCGTCAATCTGGTCATCATTAGAAGCGATGAATTGTACTGGATCTCTTTGTATTCTATCTAAGTCATCAAGCTCATTAGAATCAACATTAGTATTATGGTTCATTTGGTTGTTATTGTTATTCAACACACGAACATTCTCAACAACAGTAAGTCGACGAGGATCTATTTCTGAATGTCGTTTTCCATTCAGTATAACTCGACACGCATTTTCATGATTTTTACGTTGATTAGAATCACATGAAGAAATAGTAGAAGCAGAGGATGAAGAACAAGTGCTTGACGTGTGATATTCATGATTTGAACCAACAGAATGAGATCTACTCATTGTAGATGAGTTGCTTGTTGAATGTTTATTTTCCACATGTACTGGTGAACCCTCATTACCGTGAAATTCAGATGATATAGAAGAAGAATTAGTGGTAGATGACGACGACGAAGATGATGATGATGTTGAAGAAAGTGAACTAGATCGATTCCTTTTTTCAACCGCACATACTGATTCCATTGATGTAACTAATTCATTAGATGTTGATGATTTTACATTATTATTTTCATAAGATTTTTGTTGCTGGTAGTGTTGTTTTTGTTGTGATGATGATGGTTGTTTATCATTTGATTTTGTGTCAGATTTACCATTCAACTGATTTCGATTATTTTGTCGATGAGGGCTAGGTGAAACAGCGCCTAAATTAGTCAATTGTGCGGCTAATTGATCAAGTTCCTACAGGAGTAAAAAATATAAAAAAATAATAAGAGAATAATTCCATATTGCGATAATGGTAAAAGACAATACCGATATTTTTGTTCATATTACAACATTGAAAGCTATTTAAACAAAGTACGCAAGGAACAAAACTATGATGTATACTGTTACCACAATATGAAGAGTGAAGCAAAAGGTCAAATAGGTACTACTAACAGTAGTACTAATATAAAACAATGGGTACTATAAACATTGATAACTCATTCAGGACTGAGATTTTATTGACAATGATAATAATAATAATGATAGAACGAATATATCACAGGCATCTTAATAGTTAAAACCAATTTATTTGAAAAAAATATTAGTAACACACAAACTATACTAACAACGAAAATGAATGGGAGAGAAAATGATCTAAATGAAAGTACATTGCACGTAAGTGAGGAAAACATTAGAATAATAATAATAACACTTATGCATCATAGATGCTACACGGTGAAAAATATCCTACCGATTGTAAGCTAATCATTTCTTCAGGCTTTGTTTGACTACCATTATTATCATTATCCTCTTCAGTTACATTTAAACAGTTATTACATTCAGTAATAGGTTGAGATGGTTCATTTTTTACAAAGTCTATTTTTTCCCAGTTAACAGATATAGATGAGTCATAAATGCGGGAGGTCTCATCTAAGTTAAAATGATATGTTGAAGTGGGATTTTGATCGCTCTCGATTAATTCTTCGTCATCATCTCCTTCTTCAACAACAATAAACTCATCTGGTCTTGGTTTTGGTAGTCTACGCCTTAATAATCTTGGACCTAGAGGTGGTTTTGGCGATGTTGATAATGATTCAGAGGTTATAGTCTGAATAAATGATAAATCAGCAGCAGTTAAATTGTCATTGTTATTATCATTATTTTTTACTTCTATTAAGTCAACATTAGACCCAAACCAATCATTATCTACTAACGGTTGAGTAGTTCGTACAGTTTCATCTGAATGACTGAAAACATTCAATACATTTGTTTGTTGTTGCCTTGGGAAGTGATGAACAATATTTGATGTAGTAGTTAATGTTGTTTTTGTCATTAAGTTTAATGTTGTAGGAAGTGGTATAGTTGATTCAGTTCCATGATGTTGTTGTGATTGTTGTAGTTGGTGGTCCTGCGATCGCTGAGAGAATAAATTCTGTCGGAGCTGTTCTCTTAAATAAACTAATGATGCAGACGATGGATTCAACTGAGTTTGTTTAAGCCATTGGAATAAATTAATATGAAACTGTTGCGTACTAACATGCTCAGATGATATATCTGTTGTTGAAACAACCGTTGAAGGAGAGGAAGTTAATAAATAAGCAGATGAAGATGAAACGATATGTGATGACGAAGAAATGGTCGGTTCACTATTTGTTTGTAATGTTGGCAAGATAGTGCCCACTTTAGTAACAATATTATTGACAATACTATTACTAACACCAGAACTACTTAGAACCGGTAATAATGATGCTTTTCCCATTGATTTTAATAAGTTATTCCGTTTTCCATACTATTATCATCAAAAAGCGGATCCAGCCAACAACCCACAAAAATAGACCGTTTTTATTTAGAAATGGATATATATAATATTCGTGTAGATATACAACACCAACAGACAGATTATCATCCAAAACATTACCATATCAATCGGTTTTTACAAGAAAACACAATCAGTGTTTATGTTATATAGATACCATGTGTCAACAAAAAACAAAATTACGGGACAACACAAGTTTTAACATTCAGAATTTTTCAATTCAAAATAATAGAAGAATGACAGCAGAAGTGATAATACATTCATTTTTATTATTCGGTTTGTTGTGACAGTTTCATTGAACAGTATAATTTACCATATGATATATAGTGAAAGAAGATGAAGGTTTGAGAAGGGAAGATGAACACAGCAGATGATGAACAGATGTATAAAACCACAATGACCCGAATTAACGATACACATACAGGTGGATAATTACAAGCCGAAAATGAAATTATGGTGATACATCAAAAACGTAATGAAACGAGGATGAACGAATACGAAGACAAGAAAGTAACATCAAAAGTGAATTGTATTATATGACATAACCCCCACCCATCCAGATCCGTAAAAGACAGGTACCGCCATCGACGAAATCGTACATTATGCAAAAATGGGCAAGATAAGCGCAGCAAAAGTAGGGAGAAGATAAAAAAGGGAAAGGCATATGTTAGTTTCACATTATATTCTAAAAAAACATACATAAATGTAAAACTGTAATAAGATAATGCAAATAAGAAAATGGAAAGTTTACAGATCTAACTCATGAAGCAATCTGATCAAATATCTATGGAAAATCATTCTAGTCAAAACTAATTAGATAAGTCAAGCAATTAGAGTAAAAGGAAGGGAGGAAAAAGGGTACATATGTACAGCATACCATATTATAGAGCATACAAGAAAATTGGAATGAGGGCTATGGGGTCCAGCAAGAGGAGGGGTGTGACTGGCTTTAGCGAATCGGATTGGATCGATGAAAAAAGCTAATCTGACCTTATCAATCATTTAATGGAACAAACACACACATACGCGTATACATTTACACACACAATTGATTAAAAAAGACATGTTCGCAAATATACGCCAATACATAAACCACAAAGTTCACTTACCTCAAGACGCGATATCTTTATATTATATGAAACGAAAAAAGAATTATATTCATTGAAACAGTCAAATGAGAACCATGATTACCCACTAAATCTACAAGTTTTATAGATAACCTGTAGTGAGAGACATTACTACTTAATACATAGACAAGTGAATTCATACGTAAGACGTGATTATTGGGGAAACCAGGTAATCAGATGCATCGGTAACATGTGATGATTGACTTTTTATGCCTATAAAAAAAGACAAGTTCTGATCAATGTAATGTATCAACTAATCCCTTATCTAACCCTTTAGTACTTAGAATACAACAATATTAACATGGCACTACTGTGCAATGGTGTACAACATCTGTCCTACAATATATAGAAATTTAGAACTGTTATGTGTAGTAGCAATGTTGAAATCTAAAGTATATTATTCCTCAGTATTTTCAATCGGTTATTCTATCTAAATAAATACAAACTACAAATTCTCCATACAATTTTACAACTCTTTATCAGTAGACGAAATCACTACTTTTACATTAAATCCATTAGAAATGCTTTTGAAGAATGTTCAGTGGAATAAAGGTAAAAAAACTATTTCCCTAATCCCAATGTGAAATAAAAATATGATGATCGTCCACTAGTATTGGAATTAAAAAACTAAAAACCACAAATAAGAAACTGATGCAAGCACTTTATATAAAACAAAAGAAAGCATATACAAGATATAATACTTTAAAAAGACTTGAAAATAAAGTTTAAGGGACACTATTTTACATCAGCTGTAGCAACAAACAAATATCCACCAGAACATTTTTTTAAGATCAAGAGAAATTTTCAAGAGAATCATAATTATTTTTTTTTAAATACATTCATTTATTAAGCATAAACAATGTAGTTGTTCAAGTTGTCACACTTCACATAAACATACTGAGGATAGAAATTAGAACAAAATGAAGAACACAAAGCCCAAAACAATTATAATATAAGTAGTAGTAGTAATCGGGATATAACGCATAAGAAATATATTTCGAAGGAAGTATGGAAAATTGAGGAATGTTGAGTATATGATTATAATAAGTATGGTATTTAGATTTAGATATTTTTTAAAACAAAAACTTTTAATGAATCTGCGTTTAAAAATAACAATCTTAAATCTAAATAAGGTCTTAAAATAAACCGATGAATAAAAATGAACCCCATATCCCGTGGACTGATGAATGAACTGATTTCTAACCCGGTTGTCATGTATCATCATATTAAGTTAATACAAAGTGAATGATATTTGAAAACAATATATTGAAGTCATTACTAAACATATATAATTGAATCGATATAATCTATTCATTTACCATAAGTTAGCACATATTAAAATGATAAAGCTGCTATTATTATTATTATTATTATTACTATTATTATTATTATTACTGTCTAGGCAAATTTATACAGATACTGGGTTTTGTACTTCGTACATCACGAATATATAAACTAATTTATGCCACTTTCTTTTTCGTACAAAGTGTAAAGTATAAACAAAAAGTGAATTATAAAGGTAACCGATTACTTTCAACTTGCAGAATTCTTATGTATTGGTAAGGCTTATGAAGAAGCATGATATAGTCATCGACTTAGAATCTTTTAAGTAGTTAAAAATTAAGACTAATTAAATGAAAAGATAAATTATAATTTCAGATTAACGGATTGCAGGTGATTTAGTAATATTAAACACGGTTATTAACCCAAGCTCATATCGACTGAAAAATCGGAGGAAATTATAAAATAAACATTATAATTATTGAAATATGACATCTGGCTTGATGAAATACAAAACAATAACTTCTGGCGAATACTTTGCTATAATCAGTAACCTAGTTCTGATTCCACTGATAAATATTTCTAATTACAAACATACAAGTATAAATTACAACCTGGATATTATACTATTACAATACAGTATGTAAAACATGGCTGTATGTTACTGGTAACTGTTTTCCCCTGAAAAAAAGTTTAAGTATATATCACGCCATTGAGCTAGACAATGACTGATTGTACAAATTAAGTTACCCAAATCAAGTTTAAATGAACAAGAACAATGTGAAATCTTACCTCAGATTTTTTACTTATGTGATTTGGATTGTTTTGCTGATGTAAATGATGAGCATGATGTAATTTTTGGGGGATAACACCTGAATTTTGACGATTAGACAATTGTTTACTTGCACGTGAACGAAGTCCAGGTTGATTTGAATGCATTTTATGATTATTACTTATACATGTACTGTTATTTGCGACAGTTGTAGTGATGTTCTTAGTTGAAACTGTTAATAAAATAATTGAATTTATATTGTTCGAATGAAATTCATTACAAATGAGAATGAGTAGATGAAAAAGGGGAGAAACAAAAATATATCCGATTAATTATGTTAAAATTTATTATACATAATATTATTGTTATAAGTAAAACCAATAACAGATAAAATTGAGACAGCTTAATAAATTCAAAGAGAAATGAAGAAATATGTTTTCTTAATTGAAAGAATAAAAATAAATTCCTATTATGCATAATGAAATAAAGTGTGAATCTGTGTCAGCACCTAATATTCTCATTACATTATGAACGGTAATTATACACGTTTAAAGTTAACAAAAATAACTTAAAATTACATACAACAATATCATGTCTAAATACGGTGGATCTAGACATTTTTCTACTTTACATAAAATTATTTGGTATCCATGATTAAAAAAACACAGAGATTGTAAGCTAGAAAAACCAATATTCAATGGATAAACTATTCCGATTGATATTTTCTATTTAGAACATTTATTTTGACTACCATTCAAATGAAATTGGTATTTTAAGAAACGAAAATATAAAGCAGCTCATTTTAGGTCTTGAAATTGTAAAACAAAAAAGATGATAAATTACAAGACGGAACATATGAAGCATAGTTACTTAATATGATACAATAATTTCCGATTGATATCATTAAAGAAGAATCAATATTGTAAATAGGAATGAAATATTTCCTTAAAATAATGAGCTCAACTTACATATCTATAGAAGTGAGAGGAACAACATGTATTTTTTTAAATAAAAAAATATGTATTTTACTGAAAGTAAAGCGAAAATTCGATAGCTGTTTGTGTCATTTTTTGTAAGTCTAGTTAATTCCTTCTTTTTCTAATGTTATTATCTATCAATATAATGGAAACAAAGGTTTAGAGAAAGAAAGAATTAACAGTGATTATCCTACAGTTATAAAGGAAGAAAGACTATTTTCAGAATTTATCTTTATTTGGTTAATTTTGTTGTGTGTTTTTTCATTAACTGTATTGTAGAATGAGTAATGTTAGTAGAGAGACTATAATTTATGGACGAATAAATCATATTTAAGATAGCAGATCTTGGATTTTGGCGCGAAATTCATTCACTCATTTGGCTAAATACCATTTTGGCATTATAGCTGATGTCAGTTCATGATGAAAATGTTCATTTTAATTCCTCGCCCTAACATTCAACTGTGAATCCTAATCCTAATTCCTCACACTTATATATAATCTTCATTTAACCTTGATAAGTGAACATTCTAAGGTTATTTTGACGTTGCGCAAAGGTCGTCCATAGATTTTGTAAAATATAACTTATTAATGTTTCGATTGATAGCATTAATTCCAATAAACACACTAACAGCCTTATGTGGTAGAAAAATTTTTTGTTAGTTTAATGTGTTTAGATAATAAAAGTGAAATTTATTCACAGTATTATGATATCGTGTATTAAATTTGAGTATCTAATTGAATTAAATATCAAAATCAAATGTGAAGTCGAGAAATTCGATTACATTTATTTTCATCTCTCCTTAATTACAACTAAATATTACCTGATATGATATGTTATTCTTAGTGAACCATCCCCGTACATTAATATCAATTTAATTTTAACAAAAAGTAACTAAACAATATAACCCATGTGGTTAGACCGCAGTTCATAAGAATTTAACTAAACAGTCATTTAAAGCATATATTAACCACTGACGAGCAGATATGATTAAAACATTTTATTAAAATTACTTCCATTTCAATAGATATCAATTGTCGAATATTAACCTGAATTTTGATACCTGGTTGGTCAGAAACGAAGTCACATCTGTAATTTATCGAAAGTCGGTAACTTATCTTATTTTTACGGCTTCGGATACTAAGCATGGCGCGTGTAGTCGATAAACAATATGATTTACTTTATCCACAAAATGGATACTCGCATTCGAGTGTAACTTAGATTAACTTATAAACACGCTATTTATCCAAACATGTGTATTCTTGGTTTTGGAATGGATAATTTATTCATTTAATAATAAGTCTTTTTGGCTAATTGACTTATTTTTCGTAGCCATCTGGTTAGCTTTAGCGCGCAATCACCAGTAGGGCACTACATAAATTCCATTGACCGATAGAGCATTTACTCTTTCGTTCATTTATTATTATGACATAACAATAAAAGCTCGTCAAAAGGCATGATAAAAGGTAGAATTCAATCCACGATTAAAGTCCCCGGAACTAAATAGTGAGAATGAGTAGAAATGATCCAAATCCCTCATTTTTTCTCCGTGTTCAATAATAACTCCTTGTAAAAACGATAGATTCTACTAGAGGGAAAATAAAAACATTTTATAATGTTGGGATACGGCATTTGTCATCTGATAACTTTTGATTAGTTTAGGATATGTATTTATTAATTATTAATATTCAAAAAACAACAGCCTTCCTATTTATCGCAATTTCAAATGAATAGAAACATCGATACCTCTATGGCTGTAGGAAACAGTTTTAAGGATAACAGATCTTAATAGCTCAAACTGAGGATAATTCATCTAACTAACAAATTAGCTGGTTGCTTGCATAGAAGTAGGTTGGAAGAAAGTTATAGGCAGCCAAATCAAAAGGTGGTATCAGTCCATGATATCAGTGACTGTTGGACTGAATCATGTTGGTAGATGCATACCGTCTGGTTGAGGTGCGCGCGATTATAGTGATCAGTGAATGGAGTTGGGTGACATGGATTACACTAATGCCAGGCCTCTATGTTGACTATGACAGACAACTGAACTAATATTTAGTTTTACGTGATAGTAATTGTAAGTATTTATATGCTGCTATATTTAGGAGACAATTTTATTGCAGAGAGGATAGTATTTAGGTTTATATGAAGCTTTCATACATATCCACGCATATAATACTCTGAAAGAACTATTAAAACTAACCATTTTCACCAAGTAAGGATATTTGGTGTGCTGGAGATCGATTGCTGAATCCAGATAGTAAATTTGATGTTGCTGATTGACGAGCAAAGTTAGAATTAAAAACGTCACTTGTTGTTGTCGTCACCGTCGTCATTGTTGTTGTACTAGTCGGCACTGATGTTGTCGTAGTCGTGGTGGTGGTAGTACTAGTTGTAACAGCAAAAGCCATTGCAGCTCCACTAGACCGATTAACAGGGCTCGATATACTTGCGTTTACCGATGACTTGGGTTGGTTAGCAACTGGACTAGTTGATGTGATGATTGATTGGGGTAAAGCTGATTCTAATGGTGGTTTACGAAGATCTAAATGTGGTACAGCCTGTTCAAAGAGATAAAGGATATTTTTGAAACAGTGGAGGGAATTCTCAGCCCAGGGAGATCATTTTGGTGACGCAGAGTTTTCTGAATTAGATGGTTCGAATATAGAGCTCTAACTGTAATTCTGGACAAGATTTTCCGAGCCTACTTCATATGAAAGTGACAAACAAGGCCATCGGAATGAACTGATAACACTTATGGAATAATATGAAGTAGGGGCTGAAAATCTTGTTCAGAATGACAATGAAAGCTCCCTGATTAAATCACTTAACTGAGAGAAATCAACGCTATCAAAGGGAAAGGGATATTAAATTAGCAGATAATAAAATTGAACAATGGTCATATATGAATAGGCATATGAATATAACTAATTATAGTCTAGTGTACATAAGGAATGAACAGCATCATTTCCAAAATTCTATTAATCTTTTGTATTCTAAACAATTGTTTTTCAGTTTAACTAATAACTGTTGTTTTCATTTTGTGGAAGTTTTCGCCACAAAATCGAAGTTCGATTAAAAAAACGTATTCTCTTAATATTATAGAATTGTGGTAGTGAATTTTGACAAGGAAAAAAATGGTTGAAGGCATTATGTTCACTACATGTAAGTATTAGTTCTACTGACAAGATTGTGAAAATGAGACAGAAGGCTCATTAATGTATTTTGACAATACGACTGAGAATATTATTACTTTTAAATGTTGAACGTTATGATGGTCTTTGCGTCCTAACAAATCAAATAGCGGGGTAGATTGTTCACAATCACATAATTTTAACACAACAATCTACAGTTGTTAGTATATTTAAGAGCAGTCTTCAGCTATATAAAGTACCAAAGCCACATACATTCATTCATTGTATTATTAACATAACTGATTCATCTAACTAGTCACTTATTATAATAAGAATTCTAAAATTCACCTGATAGTTAGTTGGAAACCACTTTGTTCAAGATATATTTGGATTTATCCATATAAACAATAGTTGAAATATTTCAACAATGTATCATCACTACTACAAAGACAGACATTAAATAACTTTTTACTAAACGATATTTTCCAAACACAAACAAATAGTTTATATGATAATTATTTAGAGAACTCAACAGGAAAAATAAGAGATTTAAAATACCTGACTTGTTGGACGGGTTGATGGAAACTTCGGTGCGACAATGTGCTGAAGACGAGAACTAGCAGGGTTACCCATGCCAACTATACTAGATGAACCATTCACTTCATCAGTTTGATGTTGCACTCCTGAAGCATTATGTAATCCCCCGTTCAATCCACAATTACCAATACGAACCTGCTGATGAAGTGGAATGGGTGGTGGACCAGGATTGGCAAGTTTTGCACGAAATGGTGAAATAAGTAAATTGCCCAAATGATCATTTGAAAATATCGATGGTGATGACGATGAGGAACAAGAAGTAACAACAGTCGGATGAAAAGAGTTGGGAGGATTTGGCTATGAGTATTAGGTATCATATGAATTGTTATAAAAGATAGTACCAGCATCACCATCAATATAATCAACATGCGTCAAGCCAAAAAACAGCAAGCAATAATACATGAAAGAAGAAGAAAAAAACTTAAATTACAAACTTACACATGCAGAAAGAAAAAAGAACAATGAAATGAAAACAAAGTGGAATGACGGGAGAAGGTTGTTGACTTTGTTTGTATATTAAACCTTATGAACTATATGACACGAAAATACGGGCGAATACTCAACAGAGAAAAAGATATTACAGTAAACCTAATAAAATCGGTTCCTTTAACTCATATAATTCTTGTACAAAATGACAACTTACGTTATAAAATTAAAGTGATATACTTATCATGAACAGTGGGTCTACATAAAATGGATTCCTTACAATGGTTTCGCATTATTTTTCTGAATTTAATTTTATGCGCAATTTTACTAAGATGTATTTAAACTTCCAGTGTGATTGGATGCAGTGTGACCTAACAACATTCACAAAGCCTGCAATTTTTTAGTCAAAATACGATATGTATTTATGGATTTAATCAAAATCGTCTCAAAAATACGTTCTGAAAAAATACTCAAAAATACAAAACACACTTTGCATCTACACAAAAAGTAACATGAATAAATGAATTCCTCAACGGTTAAATCCTCATGTAGACACTTATTAATACAAAATATCGAGATTTAATAAACTATTTAAGGAATTTGAAACTATATTCAATTGATAATTGTGACCAATAAACCAATACTGGGTGATAAACAAATGTGTACACTGATGATGGTACAATTTGACGAAAGTTAACGAAATGCAATGATTTTTTATTATAGATTTATTGAGATTAACTGAAGAGTGCAGAAACTATTTAGCTACACTCAACAGTCTTACTATATTTTAGAACACACAAATTTGTCCAGTTATTCTGAGGATTCATTTCACTAACAAAAGTATGCATATTTTATACCTAACATTACGGACTGAATTTAATTAAACAACTATTTAAAACTAGAAAGCACTGTATGACTGTTTCGTCATAATATGCGACTCTTCAGCAATGCGTATCCACGGCTCCAACTAGAAAATTCAACAAACTCCCTATAGTTAGTTTATATATATAACTATACTCCTAGAGAAGTCATTCACTCATTTTTGTTAAACTATATGAAAATATAACTTAGCATGATGCAAATAGACAGAAAGCAATAACGTTCAAATAAGCAATACTCGAGAATTAGGATTAAATCAGTTACATTCTATGGACAAACCGTTAAGATCGTTAGTGTTTTGATACACACACTAAGCTAAAACTTCGCCAACAAACTGATTGATTAAATACAAAGTATAAATGGCTGACCTTTAGAACTCAGGGTACAAAGTTAACTGCTTTACTGATCAATATTGAATTAACTAGTACATAATTATTAATTACAATTAGTATTCTACACTTATAATAAATATATTTTTTATCCCGATGAGTAGAAAATTGTATTTCTGACGTTTCGGGACTTTAGGTAAGCCACTTCTTCAGAGTGAATGAATAACCGAATCCAATTAATACAGGTTTAAATACAATTCTCTACTCATTAACATCTAATAAAAAATATATTTATTTTTAACTTTCTACCCAATGCTCAACTTATTTGAAACTATCAAGTCCGACCTTGGCACTGATACGTAAAATGGTCTACAGTGTTGGAACGTCTTAATTATAATACAGATTGACTACAGATGAATAGGTATATATATAAACGCATTAGAACATAGTAATCAATTTAGAACATTGATAGGCATTAGACTTATTAATGATAATAATTATAGAATAACCTAATAACTACTAGTTTTAGTTAATCTGTAAGAACTAGTTCATGATAACGAATTTTTTTAATAATGTATACATCAAATTACAAACACATTTCAGAAAACCTAGTTTAATTGAACGCTAAACAATTCCAATGAGATAAATTTATGCTGAGAAAAAGCAAATTCAACAAAATAAAAGGAACAGAAGTTTGCATTGAAGAGAAATTCACTTAGAGGAAAAACTATATTCTAGTTATTAAATGAGCAAGCTACAATATCTAAGAGAAAATCTACGTCACACAAAAAAGGTCGATATTTAATACAATATTTAACGAAAACCTAACGATGTATAATAACAAGAAATGTATAGTAAACAAGAAGAAAAATACTAAAAGTAAACTGAAGGATAATGTCCAGCAACAACATCTTGAGTTATGAATTATCGATCAGTTAATCTGTGATTTATAAAGACACTTCTCAATGCAATGAAATGAATTTGATTCGATTTTGAATCACAATTTGTGAATATTTTAATGTTTAAATTATACTGATGAAATGAAACAAACAACTTATATTCCACTGACAATTAGTCAGTAGAAAAAGTGAATAAGAAAACAGATCATGCAAATAGTGAAGCACTTCGATAGAAGTTACTTGTAAAGATAAAACGCTAACTCAGAAATAAGATCTGATTAATTAAACTGAAGTTACTAAAATCTTACTGAGTAGTATGGAATTCACTAAATAAAACTGGAAACAATAGGTTACCAAGCTGTACATAGAATCTTGTTACGTGAGAACGGAAACAACTTTATCAAGTTTAATCGATATATTTCAGTCAACTTATTATGACTCAGAGTAAAAAATCCTGAACTAAGTGTTAAACACAAGAGAACATGCTGAATCTTGACAAATTAGTAAAGACTATTTAATTATGTTTTATATTATGAGTAATAGCTTTCAAATTAATTTAACTTTTTCCAATTATGATCACTGATGGAATATACACATCCTAATTAGAGATCAAAAAGTGTCTTATCCAATTCCCTTAATGCATACATTTTATCTAAATAAGCTTTTGTAATCACAGCAGTAAAAATGAGGAGGGAAAAGGTCAAAGCACATAGTTTAATGAAATGTTCAACGAGAACAACAACGACTACTAACCACAGATGCTCTATGATGTTGTAGGGGGAAATGATGCGAAAGTTGCCCACTATCACCAACTGCACCAATAACTGATAAGGGTGTAGTGACCGGATTATTAACTGACGATGACGTGGACACAACCTCATTGTTAGTTACAGATTGGCTATCTGTAGGTGTATCTGAGACTGTAGTATTAGTAGCAGCGTAAGATGATGAACCACCCGAATCAGCTAGACGACTCCCAGCAGCTAGGACACCCAGTTTCGGTTGATTCGAATGCATTTGCTGTTGTGACTGATTATATGCCGGTGGTCCACGACTACTATTCAAAGGTCGTGAATGTTGAGGAAAGTGATGACTAGATGATTGTGGGCGTCCATTGGCAGATCGTTGAGGGGCAACACCTACAGATGGATGGTGTTCACGTTCCTAGGATGAAGACGATAAATCAACATGATTATTTACACATTTACATGCATACGTACATAGACAGACAGAATTTGATAAAACCTGTTTTTGACAATACACGCGGTCATTATATAAATCATGTAAAACAGAGGATAAGTAGGCTAACGTTTTATAATCACATTTATTCCTTCCCTGATAATACTATGACAACAGTATGAGAAATCTATAATATATATAAAAAATGTTATAATACCACAGATATGTGGTGCGAACAAAAATGTAAAAAGAAAGAAATTAAAATATGCATATTTAAAAACAACACAGATAAATGAACATGAAAATCAATAAAGTCGTAAGCATACACATACAAACTGATTCAATGAAATTAAAATTAAGACAATGAAGTGAGAATTAAGAAAACATACATATGAACTAACCTATTCAGATCTGACCATAACCTATACATTATTGTATGTTAACCAGGAAACCTTCGAACAATCAAACTTTCCAAAAACTGCATTTAATTATTTGGTGTTGCTACATTATGCATTAAAATTTTGTTGTATCCTGATAAGAATAATGAATGGTAATTTTTGGGATCCATTTATGGACCAATATTATGAGTATGTTTTTATCGTATAATTGTTATGTAACTAAACTGTTCATATTCATGCCCCTCTTATTATGAGCTTTATTTTGACCTATGAACTATTATCATACGATTTACCATTCATGAATTATTCCCTGTCTGTTAATCGCTACCTCCCTCATTCACAGCCACATCTGGCTAATTCTTGTACAAATGTTGTTTCATATTTTATTGGTACGTTGTGGTCGGTTTCATTGGTGTATAAACGCAGTATGTTTGAAATGCAATGATTCATATATCAGAGGCTGAGACTTGCGTTCTGGACTTAACTGGCTGGGCTAGACAGGGGAGCAGGGCCAATCGGGACTCTAGGTCGTTCTTACGTGTTTTACGCGTCTTTGGTTCGATCGATAATTCGCTGCGCTCTAATCTGCAGTCATAACAAATTTATCGACTATTCAACTGTTAACTAATCCGATGTTACCAAAAATAACATTAGGAGAAATAAGAATACTAAATATAATATAGTTAGTCACGGCCTGTGCCGTAGAAAAGAGAAATATGAATACGAGTCAATTAGATATTCACACATAGATTGAAACAGGATGACTGAAAACTGAACAAATTTTATTAAATAATCCTTAATTTTCTTCAGATGGCACAAATTCTAGGCTTTATATAGACACAAAATGAGCGTAAAATAATAGAGTATTCAAAGCAACAGATAGTAGATACTATGCTCAAGAATAAATCATATTGACAAACAATACTGCAAACTTCCGAACACTATCTATATTCTACACTAAGTCGAACAAGTAAACTGAAATATCATGAATCAGTCACTTTTTCAAGAATGAATTACTGTCATCTGGAATTACTACCTACCCTCTCGAAATACTCTCACACGGCCACGCGTATACAGCCTCTGCCAGGGAAGTCCTACTCACTGCCTTCTCGCACCACGGGTGTTGTTTACGAAAATGAGAGGAAGAAAAGCGAATGTCCGGCGCTTTAACCAGATCCCAAACCAATGTTGCACATGGGCTCCAGTATCCTGTGGGAACAAATGGCCTATGAACCAATCGTTGGTCACCGGCTACCATAGGACTGCATCTCCTTACGATGCTCCACTGCCTTGTGGGTTAGACCTATAGGTCAAAGGCTCGGGGATTGGCCCCCTAAGATAATCACCTGGTTCGGTCTGGGCACCCGGGCAGTATCACAGCCCACACACACACAAATATGGTGTGGCGCATATATATTTGGTGCCCTCTTATACCAATATTTATGTGTTGAAATAAAATATTTAAGTTTATGCATTACTTGTTGAGCCATTTAATAATCACAAGATCCCAGTGATATTAAAACTTTATCTAAAAGTCTAAATAGCATTATAATGAAGAAATATAACTGATAACTTAAAATACTGAAGATAAAAATCATTGATTTGACGACTAAATCTTTACCATTATACAAAAATGATTTGTAATAACTTTAATCTAGATATGATTATGATAGTTTAATCATTCTTTATACATATATCAGATATCATTTATAATCTAGTGTATCAAACTATGATAATAATTAGAATAAATGTTAGTAATATAACGAAAATCACATTAAAAATATAAAAAACGCAAACTTGTTTTATTAACCACACTATTTTTGTTACATCATCATCATGAAATTGCCTTATATGAAACAAATTGATAAATGTAGAATTTTCTCAATACTACGATTATTTGGTGAAAAATAGTCATTAGTTTATTTTTATTAGAAAAAGAAACGAACCAACATGAAAATTGGATCATTATCAATAAATAATAATAATAACTCTCTCTTTTTTTAATGATTTTCAATCAGATGATGATATAATTAAGATGAATTGTAGAAAAATTTATTATGAAAGAGAAACATTATTTGGATAAATAAAAGTGCACACAATTAATTGATTATTGAAGTAATGAAAATCTTTTCATTGCATATATATATATATTGATGGAGTTTTGTTCTCTGAGCTGGATGGCTTGGTCGTAGAGTTTTCATCTTTCTTCTGAACGACATCATCAGCACAAACGTATTTTCAATAAAAACCAATCAACGTCGAGGTGTACAGAACAAGCTGTGAAACGCATATGGAGAAATTCGAAAACTTCACTTCTATCTGAAGTTTGTGCTGATGATGTCGTTCAGAAGAGCGATAAAAGCTCTACGACCAAACCATCCAGCTCAGAGAACAAAACTCCATCAAAATCATCTACCTGAGCTACGAATCTTCTCCACCATCTCTCATATATATATATAAATGAGAAAATTTTGATAACCATAGAGGAAGAGAGAGAGAGAGGAGAGAATAAAATTTCAAAATGAACAATTCACTGATTGATATCAGTTTATATTGTTAACCATAGCATGTTATTATCTGAGTAAATTATTACAATTCAGACTAGATAAACAGATATATATATATATATATATATATATATATATATATATATATATATATATATAATGTTTAATTGCTACATAAATTAAAGATACGACTTTTTGATGGTTACATTTCATCAGTTTTATACAGGGTCTCATTTGTTAAAATTTGATGAAACAGATATTTTGATATTCACCCTTAAAAATAGTATGTAATGAGTTAGATGAATTCACACATGAGATAAGAAGAGTTAATGATCTAATTCAAACATATATATGAAAATATGTTTATTTCTATTTTAAACCAAGCAGAAATAATCAAAATATACTCAAAATAATGACATTAAATATGATGAACAACAAAAATATATTTGGTATGACAGAAGGAAAATAAATCAACACTAAAAACCATACAATCCAATATACAACAACCCATAGAGTAGATTAAACGAAAGAAAACCATAATATATATATATGTATGTTTATGATGATGTAATCGTGCTAATGATTCACAAAGCGCATAAATTATATAAAATATATGCAGCAGTATAAATAATGTATACATTATGTGATAAAAACAAACTTGTGTATAACAAAAATAATATACAATACGATTGCAAATATTTACAAGAAACAAAATAAACTAATAGATAAACACACATGCAAAATTCAACTATTATCAAAATCGTCATTCATTGCAATAATTTGATAGGACCATTAATAGCAAGAGAAATACACAGAGAAATCTATCAATTAACTAGTTAAAATCTCTGAGTCCCCCTCTCACACCTTTATAACTGAGTTGTTATAGGAATTCTTAAGGGAAAACACAGTGAATTGGTCTTGAGAACTATGAAATGAATAATTGTGTTATTCATCTAGACAAGGCTGTCTCGTCAAAAATAGAACGATCCAATAATCGAATACTTATTATTTAACAATCTTAAACTATTTATTTTATTGAATATATTACTATAAGATAAAAATATTGACCACTACGGTAGTATCGAAACAAGAGGAATTCACAGAACTGTACATAATTGTGAATAACTACTAATAGAGTAATCAGTTATTCACTCATTATTCCATATAAACACTCCTTAGGTTTTTCGGCCACAATGATTATTTCTCGCGAGAACATTCAATTTTCATTGTTGGATTGTGCTTCAAGAAAGGAAATATCTGTATGTTCATTCTATTCACTAGAATCCTGACGTTATAACTCACTTGACTAGAAACCGTATTCAATAGTACTACGCTTGCATTAAGCATTGCCATACGGGTTTATTCACTTAGCTGGAAGGGTATGAAGAAAGCTCATGTAGTTTGGTTTCGCACAAAAAAGAAAAATCTCGAACTTCAGTATGTAGATCAGTTATTTTTCTTTACAATATAAATACAATCTAAACAACAAATGGATAAATTAATTTTTGTACTTCTATTGAGTGACAATATAAAATGACCTACGAGCTGAATAATATTATTACGCCAGAATTCTTCCAAACGTTGGACCCAAGTAGATCACATCGCTATCAGCCACCGATGGAGGGGCTCGATAGAAGACTGTCGCTCATTCTGGAGCACATGCTTAGATTCAGATCATGCTCTAGTGCGAGTGTGTATTTGTCTGCGTCTTACTGGACGTAGGAAAGACGCTGCAAGGAAACCTCTTAGGGGCCTACTTAATTGTAGTCACGGTAAGAGAATGTTTGAGGGAAAACTAGAAAAACAGTTAGGCAGCCATGTAGGTGATGCCCAACCCGAGGCAGCATGGAATGATATCCGAAAAGCTGTGGAAACAGTAGTGATATCTGCTAGTAATGTAAACCACAAGGTTAGGGAGAAACACTGGATCTCAGCAGCATCTACTACACTGATAGATGCTCGGAAACTCATCACATCTGGCTCTGAACACAACGAAGAGTGGAGTCAGCTTAAGCGCAAGCTGACAAGAAGTCTACACAATGATCGCGAACAGTGGTGGGTAGCGAAAGCAAGATTGATGGAAAAGGCAGCGGCAATAGGTAATAGCAGACAATTGTTCAGACTAGTTAGGGAAACCGGTATTAGGAAACTGACTGTTAGCGAAACACTATCAGAGAAAGATGGACATATTATACATTCTCAATCCAGGAGATTGGATCGATGAGCAGAACACTAGGGATCAGTTCAACTGGCCTTCAGCCACACTTCGGTTTCCCACGATCTCCAATCAACATGAATGGCAAGTTAATGTAGGAAACGGGTACTAGGTAAGGATGGCAAATCGATTGATGAAGTAGTGAAACTTGATCAGTTGAGATGGCTGGGACACGTGTTACGTATGCCCAACCACCGACTGCCTCGACGTGCGATGTTTTATGGTGTAGGAATAGATTGGAAGGAAGCTAGGGGCGGCCAGACAAAAACATGGCACAAGTCCATGAAGTCACTGACAAGTGGACTTAGTCATATTGGTAGGTGTAGACTACCTGGTTGGGGACCGCGAAACGATGGCAACTGATGGTTAGAGACCCTGAATGACATGTCTCAAAATCATTTGCAATGGCGCAGGTGCATCCACACTTTATGTTCTCCCAAATTCTAATCTTCTGAATTCTTCATGTCCCTTTCTTTTTTCTCATTCCAATTTTATTTCACTGGATTATACTCCTTGAATAACATCTTCAAACCCTAATCTTCCGGATCAGTGCTTTTACTTTTACTACCTCTACCACTATGTGATTTGAATAGACAATTGCATCTCCGTACTAATGTAGCATGGCAATTCAAACTGATGTACATACGTACGAAGTTCTACGTTGTTACTGAATGAGAGTATTACGCAAAAAAGAAAAAAATATAAGTGTATTCAGAAGCGAATCATTTCTATTTATTAATAACCATCCGAATAAAATTTAATTGCTAAAATAAACATTGGCTAACAAGAATTATTAAATAAAACAAAATCTTATCACTTACAAGTATATATATATATATATATATATATATATATATATATCAGGGCAATAATTAGATATCTAATTATCGTCCAACCACGGAGAAACCGTGTAGAATAAATTAAATTAAGTTGGTGGAGAAATCATATCATTTCATTCAATTATTATTCTTGACAACTTCGTTATGTCCAAAAAATATATGGATACAACGTATTTTTACAACAGAAACATCGCTTGATGCCAATGTAACGAAACTATGTAGTCAGCAATTTCGACGAATATGTTATCTTATTAAAATGTTTCCTTAACTCGGAATAAGCGAATGTGTATTTTTTTAAGGTCAAATTTTATAATACAATAACGGTATCAAGTAATTTGATCATGAGTAACTAACAAAACAATTAATGTTGTATTACTGCAAGGTACACTGACTAATTTCACAATTCTAAAACGATTTTAATTTTATTTGCTTATCGCCGATCGAATTTTTAATCTGAGTTATGAAAGTTTTGAAAAAATATTCAGTAGAGACTGAACAATAACTCATTATTACTGTTCACAACGGATTTATAATCCGACCATTAGATCTCGAGGTAACATAAACTAAGCTTAAATCGAGATTTATAAATTTCCAACTGGATTATAATTAGGAACCATACGTTGAAGAAATTCTGGGATCTAGGATGTCAAGGATTTTTAACAAATTTGTGAACATATTATCAACCGATAACTCTCCTAATATTTATTCACTACGTGAGAAAATTCTTTTCCAAATCAGCTCTTTCTAACTTTTGTATTAGGAACCGTAAGACTAGTTTTTGAATGATGGATACGAAAAGCTCCCCGTGAATACAGATATTTACTGGCCACTTGTTCTATAGATTAAAAAAGATTAATTGATCATACCTTTCACAATATCATGAGGTGAATTCTGGACAAATAAACCAACACACACTGACAAAAGAAACCTGAGGGATAAATCTCAACTCATAACAATGTTCCGTTCACAATATATAGTATTTTTTAGTGTTGCGTTCTCTGAGCTGAATGAAGATGTTGTTGAACTTTTAGACAGAATCGATAGCATCCCTACTTCATCATCTAAAAACTAGATAATGACTGATACTTAGACAATTCAACCGATCAGTATATCTAGGTTATCATTTTCTCATTTATGGGATTAGGAAATATTGAATGAATTTCAAAAACTAAAAAATCACATAAGAATCTTTAAAACAACAACTAACAATAGCTCACTTGTTAATGAGTGTTGAGAAGAAAGGACTTGAATTTCGAGTAGTTTTATATCTGATGTTGAGTTGACAAGGAACTCATCTTTTAATCAGTTACACAGTAAATATTTCATTCATCACGAGTTTGCTTTGATGTAAATGTCACACTTTTATCAAAATACTTATATTATTTAAAGAAAAGAATAAATATGTGGCACATATCATGTTTTCATGACTTAATCTTAAGATTTGAGAATTTCTATGTTATTCAATCACATATTTTGAGTAGCGTTACCTACAAATATTAAAACGGAGATTAAAAGCTACGAAACATAACTGTCTTACTACTAAGTGTTATGCAAGCATAGTATGCATATATGAGAATAAAATTACAAATATAAATAGCCTGAACAAAAGATAACTTTTAAGCATTCTCAGATAAAAAGAACTAATTCGATACAAACCATACCAAAAGCACGTGAAAACTTTGGATCAAACACAAAGCAAACAACTTACCTGTAAACGAGCGAAATTTTGACGAAGTGTATTTTCACCTGGTTCCTTAGCATTGACAGTTGCTGACTCACCTTCATCTAACCTTGGCAACCGACTATTATGCGGCATCATTGATTGTGGCGTAACAGCAGGTAACCTATTAACTACTGACATAGGATTTCGTGAGATAAATCGAGCATTCACTGGTACATTATCATTTACAATATTCCCACTTTGTATCATATGTCCATGTTGTCTATAGTTTAATCCAGATACAGATGGTTGTGAAACAAACGATGCTACTTCGTTTTGATCAGGAACTCCACTAGTCCGAAGCACTTGATTATGGGGAGGTTTATCCGTTGGTTGACGAAATTGAGGTGGATGATGGCTAATTTGACTAGGTAAACGATGTGCTTGACCATTGCCACTAACAGCAGCTGACATAGCTAGAGCAGCGGCAGCAGCTCCTTTAACAGCTGCACTAGTTTCCTCCTCCTCCTCTTCATCACTTCCTTCATATTCATAAATTTTTTCATGTTCTTCAGCTGATGAGATAAATAAAAAAGTAGAACATGATTATATTGATAGTGCCAAAAAATTTACTTCACACTTACACAAGTGTACAACTGTTTGCTGGTGAGTTACGATAATACGATAAGTAGATTTGGTAAAATTATAGTATAAGAAGAAGCAAATCAGAATAAAAAACGCGATTTTTAGGATTTTGTGAGATATTAGAATATAAACTATTAAGAGAAGGCAAAGCATCTTCGTACACTACTCAAAACATTTAAAATCATAGCGAAAAATCATAGAGTGGAGATGATAGCGTTGAACGCATAAAATGTACAATCCTTTCTCTGTAGATTGTATAAAACAGAGGACTGGTACTATCCTCAAATACCTTGACCTACTGACATATTTTAGATTTATAGTGCCTACTGTATTTTTGCACGAAAATCGCTCGTCTGTCTTTTTGAATTATATCTGACATAAGATGGAGATGAAGACCCCTGATACTTGCTATACATACCTAACCCTATCCACTCAAGTCCTCATAAAAATTCGAGATGAGTATTTTACATCCATAAGGAAAAATTTATAAGTAGTTTTTTTCAATTTACAGCTAGAGTAACCTTTAGGAGACTTTAATAGATGTTTTCCCTTATACGAACTATCTGTTTACAAAAGTTACTTTCTGACTGACTAGAAATTTGATGAAAATTTGTTGAGGTCATTTTAAACTCATCCCTATGCTATAGTCTCGCCGTAGATTTCCTCATTACTTAATGGACAGTAATTTTACAAACTTTGAAATACCACTGTATCAAGAAGCCTGCACCTTAAAAGTACTGCCTATACGTTCTCACTTGCTTCAAATATTACTTAATTTGCTGTATCACCATATAGGATTGATCAGTTGAAGAAAATAAAAATCAGACAAAATACTTAACTGTAATTCACCTAAGAATAACCTTTATAGATAAGGAAACTTCGTAAATACGAAGCAAAACTGACAGAAAACTGTGGTATTTATTCACTATCTAAGTAAATATTTCACTATTCTCATTTATGCTACTTAGATAAATACTCGTAAAACAAATTTAATACATAAAATTTAGTCAGTACTAACAAATAGATATAACAAAAATGATCATTATTTCATAACTATTAAGTTTAAAATTCAGTCATGCAGGAGTCAGATGTATTCCGAACAGTCGATGAGTAAAGTCTATAACTGTAGCGTTGAACCACACGAGTTAGAATATACACAAACGCCATTGTGGATCGTCACACAAAATAGTACTAGTCAGCGTCAACTAACATGACATAGACTAGCTGTCAAAGACTCCATGGATCGATGCCATGTCTTATTGTGGCTGATTCTAGCTTATTCTAACCTACTTACACAATAACAAACATCGCCCGTCGAGGTAGGTAAGTGTTCGAGTAAACGCAACCCATGTTCTAACTACTTCAGTCGGCAATCAGTATCAATTTAAATGATCAAGAATTATCGAAATGAAGTTTAATATCACCTACCTAAAGAGAAATTTCGAGATGCTTTGTTTATCAGAACAAAAAGTAATTCATTCGTTTGTGAATGTATAATAAAGGAATAATAGCGCTCCTTCGTATAAAAATAAAGTACAATATATAGACTTTAATGTACGATATGACCGACCATAAGTTATTTCATTTCGATTATCCTTCACCTATTTAATGTAATCATAATAAACTAAAACTCTTAAACCCGATAATTTCAATGTTTGGAAATGTTTTCACTGAAAAGACCATTAATTTAACCTTGATATGATTTTATTATGTCCTGGAAATGCGTACGTTGATTTATTATTTATTTCTACGAAAGTGTTAAAGCTTTATTTGAAAGATAAATGGTCATTCTTTTTTTACAGATTTCAATTTTCATCAATTTTCCAACAATATTATGTATATGGATAAATAAACGTTTAAAAAAATATCTATATGAGTGTAACAAAGTATATTTAACGAATCCGAGCTCTTAAGTGTGAGAAATGGTTGAAGACAATAGGAAGCAAAGAATATCTGTAATAATGAGGGAACTAATGATCCCTGATGGGATACGGACCTGCATCGTAGTGTCAATAGAACTGTGTAGTTCGGTTGACAACTAACTTTTACTTTGCTTATCCTCAATGAACTTACTTGAGTAGAACTTATGATTGTTTTGACTCAACTAATCGATATTCCAGCCACTTTAAAGTCACTAGCAAATATGTTCAAGGTATTATAAACAAATATAACTTTCTCAAATAATGTTTCTATTAAAGATATCACTTATAACAATCAGATCCATAAATGAATACTGAAAATATCAAAATAATGCACTTAAGGAAAACACTAAAAATTTAACCGCTGACCTACATATAAATTTATGTAGGATGACTTGTTCTGTTTTATCATGTATTATGTTGTCACAATGCACTCAGTCTTTTAAAGCTACAAAAATGTCATTAATCCTCTAGTGACTGGTGTGAAGTAAAAACACTGTAATAAGATATAGAATAGTGTTATTTTGATAAAGTCATAATAAGTAACGAAAAGTTAATTAATTTACTTTGCCTATTTCGTCTATGTCTATCTATATGATCTTTGAGTTGAATTCTAATTTGACGTTCATTTGGTAAATTTGTAATGAATTCATGTCGAAATAATTCTGATGTATTTGGACGTTTATGGAAATCTTTAGTTAAACATTTATTGACAAAATCATGAAATCTTGGTGTCCAATGTCTAGATCCGTTCGGTGATTGTTTTAATCGAGGTGGTGAGTTACGCATTATTAAGAAAAGTGCACGCATTGGATGCATTTCACATAATGGTGGTCGACCTTCAGCCATTTCTAAAGCTGTTATACCCAATGACCAGATATCTGAACGAGCATCATATGTACAACTTGAATCTTGTTCGCAATGAATCACTTCAGGCGCCATCCTATAAATTCCAAAAAAATAAGAAAACTTGCAATGAAATGTAATAATAATGCAATAGCGACTGAAAATACACCATATCATTAGGAGGAATCATTCATTTGAGCACGTCTTCAATTAGTCAGAAGAGGAGTGAAAATTAAGTAAACGATACTGATTAGTAATTAGTAGCAGCTCTATTTCATGAGTTAACTATTTCTGCCACAATTACACGATAGGTACTAACTACTAATGTATTTGTGTGACTCAACGGATAAACAATTTAGTAGGACGGTGTATCACTTCAAGTTTTGACAATTTAATAAAAGGAGTCAGAATCCTTAATACGAATGTTAATACAGTTCTACTGTAGAGAGATGCAACTTGGAGAACTACTACATCCATCACCAGAAAAATACAAGTATTTATGAATAATTGATTACGCAAAGTACTTAATGTTCGTTGACCGGATACCAGCAGCAACAGCCTATTGTGGGAGAAAACGAACCAGCTTCCAGATGAGGAGGTAATTTAAAAAAACTGTTGGAAATGGACACATAAATTGCGTAAATCACTAAACTACAGTAGGGAGAAAGTGCTAACTTGGAATCCTGAAGCGAAACGGAAAAGAGGAAGACCAGAGAACACAATGAGACGAGAATAAAAAGCAAACATGAAAATGATGAATTGTAACTGAAAAGGATTGCTCAGGACAGAGTTAAATGAACAATACTGGTGGGTGGTCTATGTTCCTCTACGAGGGGCAACAGATGTAAGTAGTGAAGAAAAATCATAAAACTCATGTATATGGATGGAGAAACATTATCAAAATACACTACCGTAACTATCATATTTCTGGCTGAAACTAAACTACTATCGTAACAGTGCCGTAACAATACCACTGCAACACTATACTTTACTTATATAATCAAGTCTACCATCTCAGTTAGTACTAACATTCACTAAGTAGATTATTGTACTAAAACTATCAAGTAAATAATAACGTTACCTGATTTTTTAAACTAAAGTCGAAGATGTAATTCTCCAACCCATGAGATAACCGTTGGGAATCAAATATTTAAATGACTTGAACACTATTACATATTACAATCTCATTAAAAATATATCAGAGGAAGGCGCTAATTCTATATTGTATCATACCAGTGCATTAACACGTAATGGCAGAAAATCTGTTTAGACAGTGAATATACTTATCATTTTGTGACAAAAACTCTGATTATTCAATTTTTCAACTACTTTCTTATACTATCTAGTTTACATCCATATTTCACTTTAACACCTTAAGTCAATAGCCAATTTATTCATTGTAAATAGATAAACTCAGTGCGGTCTTTTAATTTATTATATTATAATGAATTACATATTAGATACTTGTAAAGAATCTGGTCAACAGTTGTAATTAAAGTTAGGTCATGACAAAATTTGACCAATTGGATTTCAAATTGCTGAAATGAAAATGTATAAACAAAATAGGGATTGAGAGTGAAAAAGAAACTTTTCTTGGCTGTTAGTAATTGACACATAAAGAAAAAAAAAGATAAGAAACGGACACAGCATATATATATATATATATATATATATATATATATATATAGCCAGTCTACGTTACATTAGATTTACTGATGAAAAAAATAACGAGATTCATAAAAAAAATCAGTATTCACATTCTCAAGAAGACAAAGCATATTACTGAAATGTTGAATAATCTCTTAATAAATGTCACGTAGGCTTTGAATAAACTGAAAATATGAAATAACATTTAAAGTAACCTAATGGGTCAAAGTAATGTTAAACGTAGGTATATATTGGTTGGAGATGTAATCGGAAACACAGATATTACACAGTTATAACACATTTGAAGCATGGCCAACACTTAGCGAAACCATAGATTTTGCAATGATATGTCAGTCAGTCAATAAAAAACGTGAAAATTCGTACGTACGTACATCAGTTCAAGTTGCCACACCACATTAGCACAGAGATGCAGTGGTCAAATCAAATCCCGTAGTGCTAGATGTAGTAAAATTATAAGCTGTAATCAGAAAAATTAGGGTTTGAAGATGCTATTCAAGGAGTAAATTCCAGTGAAATAAATTTGGAAAGAGGAAAAAAGGGACATGAAGAATTCAGAAGATTAGAATTTGGGAGAACACAAAGAATGGATGCACCTGCGCCATTGCAAACCATTTTGGGTCATGTCATTCAGGGTCTCTAACCATCGGTTGCTATCATCTCGAGATCCCCAACCAGGTAGTCTACACCTACCAATATGACTAAGTCCACTTGTCAGTGACTTCATGGACTTGTGCCATGTTTAGGTCTGGCCGCCCCTAGCTTCCTTCCAATCTATTCCTACACCATAAAACATCGCACGTCGAGGCATTCGGTGGTTGGGCATACGTACCACGAGTCCCAGCCATTTCAACTGATCAAGTTTCACTACTTCATCAATTGATTTGCCATCCCTTTCTAGTACCCGTTTCCTAACAACTGTGTTACTTACTCGATGGTCCCAGGATATACGAGCAATATTTCGAAGACACCTATGATCAAATACTAGTAACCTACGAATATCCTCTACTCTTACCGGCCATGTTTCACTGTCATAAAGTAGGACGGAACGAACTGCTGTGCAGTAAACACGTCCTTTGGTTGATAGACGGATATCTCGCCTACGCCATAAATGACGCAAGTTGGTAAAAGCTAGTCGAGCCTTCTGTATCCGTGCTGATATTTCGTCACACCAGATCACAAGGGCTGATGAGACTCTCAAGGTAAGTGAAGCGATCGACACGCTCAATTACTTCACTCCCTATCATTAGTTCGGGTGTTAACGCAATCCAATCCTGAAGTAACATTTTACATTTCGAGGGAGAGAATCGCATCCCAAACATGCTTGCATTGTTGATTAGAGTGGTCAGAAGACTCTGCACTTTGTCAGCCACTTCACCAAATAGAACTGTCATCAGCATATTCCAAGTCAACAAGTGAATCTCTCGGTAGAAGTTCAACTCCTGGAAATTTAGATGAGGGATGTGTTATCTCTAAAAGCACGTCAACGACGAAGTTAAACAAGAATGGAGAGAGTGAAGAGTCCTGACGAACACCACTTGAGGTAATCAATTCTGATGACAGTTCACCATAAGCTCTCGCTCTACCAGTTGTGTTCGAGTAGAGAGCCTTTACAAGGTTAATGTACTTCTTTGGTACTCCTTCCAATTACAAACACTGCCGTAGATCCTCACGATTAACAGTGTCAAATGCCCCCCTAGTTTTCTTCCAACCTACTCCTACACCATAAAACATCGCACGTCGAGGCATTCGGTGATTGGGCATACGTAACACGTGTCCCAGCCATCTCAACTGATCAAGTTTCACTACTTCATCAATCGATTTGCCATCCTTACCTAGTACCCGTTTCCTACATTAACTTGCCATTCATGTTGATTGGAGATCGTGGGAAACCGAAGTGTGGCTGAAGGCCAGTTGAACTGATCCCTAGTGTTCTGCTCATCGATCCAATCTCCTGGATTGAGAATGTATAATATGTCTATCTTTCTCTGAGAGTGTTTCGCTAACAGTCGGTTTCCTAATACCGGTTTCCCTAACAAGTCTTAACAGTTGTCTGCTATTACCTATTGCCGCTGCCTTTTCCATCAATCTTGCTTTCGCTACCCACCACTGTTCGCGATCATTGTGTAGACTTCTTGTCAGCTTGCGCTTAAGCTGACTCCACTCTTCGTTGTGTTCAGAGCCAGATGTGATGAGTTTCCGAGCATCTATCAGTGTAGTAGATGCTGCTGAGATCCAGTGTTTCTCCCTAACCTTGTGGTTTACATTACTAGCAGATATCACTACTGTTTCCACAGCTTTTCGGATATCATTCCATGCTGCCTCGGGTTGGGCATCACCTACATGGCTGCCTAACTGTTTTTCTAGTTTTCCCTCAAACATTCTCTTACCGTGACTACAATTAAGTAGGCCCCTAAGAGGTTTCCTTGCAGCGTCTTTCCTACGTCCAGTAAGACGCAGACAAATACACACTCGCACTAGAGCATGATCTGAATCTAAGCATGTGCTCCAGAATGAGCGACAGTCTTCTATCGAGCCCCTCCATCGGTGGCTGATAGCGATGTGATCTATTTGGGTCCAACGTTGGGACGAATTAGGAGGTCTCCATGTTAAAAGATGTTTTTCCTTATGCTTAAAGTTAGTATTTGCAAGAAAGAGGCGGTTATCTGAGCATAGCTGCAACAGACGGTCGCTATTATCTGTTCTTTGGGCCACGACGCCATAAGATCCACCTAGGTGTCTTTCCTTATCGCTTAGTTTACCTACTTGAGCATTAAAGTCACCAGCCATTATTACTACATCCGAGCGCTTAGCTTTTCGGAGAAGGTCCGAAAGCTTTCTGTAAAACTCATCTTTTACATCATCTGAGCTGCAGTCAGTGGGAGAATAGGCAGAGACGACGAAGAGGCAACGACGAGTGTCCCTATCTTTCCGGATTCTTACTGTTCCGTTCAGTCGGACAGCGCACAAACGACTATCTACTGGGATCCAGTCTAAGAGATCTATTTCTGCCCTAGGACTCAATTCTATACCTACGCCGGTGAGGCCACGGGAAGCAGAATCACGGCTTCCAGATACACGAAGTGTGAAACGAGTCGGTTCTTTATTTTGGCATGGTGAGGTCAAATGAATGACACTACTTGGATCCTGTATGCGCGTTTCGGAGACGCAGCACACACCGATGGCGCGGGATTCTAAAGTCTTAGCTAAGGAAGCCTGTTGTCCTATTTGGCACAGTGTTCGGACGTTAGAAGCTACTACGTGTAGTTTAGAGCGTGATTTCAGGAGACCAGGAATGGCGTTTCGCGTACTCGAATCGTTTGCCCCAGTGGTGGGAGGTGAGAAAAGGACGTGGGAAGGGTTAGTCGGGGAGATAAGAGTAGTATTAAGTGTCGGAGGGATTTGAACATGACCAACTTGGTCTCGCGTGCAGTTACGGATATGAGGGCTGGTGTCACTTCCCGGTTTCCCACACCGTGGAAGCGTATTTCTTGAAGAACCTGATAAGGAATTCGGATTAATGTTGGCCTTAACGACCTGGGAGCGTGACCGCGGAACCCTGGGGACAATTGCTTGAGGCCGGTCGTGTATCTGGGTAGCTGCATAAGTGCTGGTGGGGGTGTGAGTGATGAGATCAATGCACGAATAGTGAAAGCCAGAACGGCGTATGCCAATCTGGGCCACCTTTGGCGCCTTCATGATGTTAGTCTGGTTGTAAAAGGCCGGATCTACAACGCGTCGGTAAGAGCAGTTTTGCTCGATGCTTGTGAAACCTGACCTCTCCGAGTCGGGGATGTTAGATGACTGTGTTCGATCATCGCTGTCTCCGAAAGACTGCTGACATCCAGTGGCAACACCATGTTAGTAATGCAGAGGTTCAGCATCGTGTGTTCGGGCACAGAGATGATAATGCAATTGGTGTCACCATCTTGAAACACCGACTTCAGTGGCTTGGACATGTTCTCCGAATGTCACCTCAAAGAATTCCACGTCGTGCATTATTTGCCGACTCTGGGACTGGTTGGAAGAAGCGGAGAGGTGGTCAGTGCATGACATGGTGTCGTGGTATGAAAGAAAGCTGCAAAGGACTGGCTTCTGTCGGTCCTTCACGACTCCCTGGTTGGGGTCCGAGAGATGGTACAACACAGTGGCTAGAGACGTTATCAGATATGGCTCAGAATAGAAGCCAGTGGCGATCCTGCTGTAACCTTCTTTTACTTTCTTCATAAAAAGTGGTTGTGTCTCCTTTACCTGAAAGATTTCTTCTGATTGTACCTTTTCGTTCCGTCGTTACTACCACACTACCTTACTCCAATCTCTTCGTCATTGTTCTCTTTTTCTTTTGCGCTCCTTAGTTTTTTTTCTACTTCTCTTCGTATTCTCATTGTTTTGTGTGGCGCATATATATTGGGGCTTTCTTGTACCAATATTCATGTGTTCAAATAATAATAATAATAAGAAGAAGAAGAATAACAATAATTCGGTCGCACACGTCCTTTTTGTGGAAGATTTTTGAAGTGTTAGCTCCGTTCTTCAAAGGGCTTTACCGACGGAGACGGAAGTCCGTGAGGTAAGGTGAGGTGTGACATTTTTAGGGTCGACCTTTTCTAACCCCACCCCTCCTTGTGGGAAGGCAGCATCGCTGTCATGCTGGTTGTCTGAAGGAAACACCTTACTGCTGTCACACTCCTCTATAGTCAGCAGTACGACTTCGCCCTGAGACCTCAATGATATGTAAAGTTCCAGGCACAGAATAGAAATATCAAATGAAATAGTTGTGAGCCGAATTTCCGTCAAATTGATTAGATAAATATAAAAACAGTTTACGACTGACTATCACCACGTGGTGGGCGGCCTATGCTACTCGACTAGGGGTAACATGCGTAAGTAAGTAATCACCACGTGAAATTATTTCGAAAATTGTATTGAAAAAGAATTTTTCAGGTGGTGTCACAACATGGTAGGTTACAATGTGAGTGAGACAGATAAAATCAAAACCTAAAAAGACAGAATAAGCAGAGATGGATGGTGTCTAGCAGTGGCCTTTAGGACGCGCGTTTCGTCCTACTTGGAAGTCGTTAGCTGGATGTATCTGCATCCAAGAGTTGATGTTCACTCTGGGACTCGAATAACCAATGAGAAAATGAATCGAGAAAAAGCAGTACAAAACAAATCATGTTAGAGCGATCATAATGATAATTATTGAAATAGAGTATTGTCAGTCATGAAAATTCCGAACATTTACCAAAAACGATGCTGAAGTATGGAAGTAAAACATTTAGAACTTCTAAATGAACGGTGTTTATTATGTTCAGACAATATTGACAAATTAAATGTAAATGTATTTCCATTCAGAGAATATTTCGACTGAGATAATGTTTCTATGTATTTTGCAGAAGTATATAAGTGATCAATTCTACCAATGAAAGTCAGAAACATTCATCATCTTTGTTCCCATATCCCACTTCGATGTAACAAAGTCATTAATGTTATTTCAGAGGTAACAGTACCTATTTACAGGGGCTGATTTTCTGTCCAGATAACATCGACAATAACACATGCAGATGTTCAACTTCCACTCGATATTTATAAGAACCAGGGGAACTATAAGATGGTATTCAGCATAAATAAATACTTGTAATAGATAAAATTTTCAAAGGTTCATACAAAACAACGCTCATTCTTACATAAACAAGGGGGAAAATAATGTTTATCGAATAAACTATAAACCGGAAATAGTTTTATGTTGCAAAATATGATGAGCAAAAAAAACGAGAAACCAACCAAAATGAATCTATTTCTCTTCATGAAATAGATGTATTGAATGAAAAAAATATTTGTATATATACATGCATGTGTAAATGTTAAGTAAAAACAAAAAAATAAGTAAATGATTATTTAATATACTTCGTTGTTTACTGTTTTTGAAAGGAAAACCTTCAACAATAATCTAAAACTGAGGAATCCAGGAAGAAGGTGTAATTGCAAAGAAACTTGGTATTCAGGCAGACAAGCTGGAATAGTTCAACTTTGTATATGTAGTAACAAAAACATTATCTTGAAGCACAGTAAGTTAGCAAACAAAAAGTAGTGACAGACAATCAGATAAGAACAAGGGTTATAAGTAAATGTAAATTAGAAAAATTGTACGCAGGATTATTGCGTTTAATGACAAAAATTAAATAACGCAAATCTCTTTCGTAGAATGAAGACTTATGGTTGGTAGAATCAAGATTATATAGTCAAAATTCTGTGAACTAAATTTAGTCACATAAATTTGAAAAAAAATTCTATTAAAAAGAGAAAAAGAATGAAATAAAAAGCATGAAACTTTATGAAATAATTGATATTTTTAACAGCATAATAGTTGAACTAGTGGAAAGTCACTAAGTAGTAACTCAAGTTATTTATACTACAAGGAACAAGGTATTATTTTACGAAAAAGGTTGTATACATGATAAACATTGATTTGATTTTCTACACACGCTAGAAGGAATAACTGATCAACTTATCTATGTTAAAGTCTACTAGAACAAATATTAAGATATCAAAAAATCATTCAAAACAACAATCAATAAAGTGAAAACATTTTAACGAAGTACACGAAGATACAAGGGAAAATGAGAAGTTAACTAATACAAAAGATTTGGTAAAGATTAATCACGATTGAAAAAGTTTAGAAGTTCTGGGTCGAATAACATTAATTCGAATAGTCTTAATGCAGTAGCTACTTTATAGTTCCAGGTTACTTTTGGTGATCAGTGTCAAATAACTGACGCTAACTGCTGATTGTCTTGAACCACTTAACATGTACAACTTAAATCAAAAACGACTTACTCGATGAAATAGTTTACCTAATCTCATCAACTTGGAATGAAATATTTTTCATTTTTATTGTAGTTCTTTCAAGCTAATAGCTTAGTTTAGGTGAGAAAGATGACAAACATATGTTATAAACATCTCAGTAGATTCAAGCTCAAAAATACATGCGAGCAATTTATTCTTATTTACCATAAACTTAATATGTGAATGAGAAATTTAATGTAGATTATCAAGTACAGGTCAATACACTCGACTACCTAGACTGACATAGGTATTGAAAATTCCCAATCAACTCTATCCAATGTTTAAATGATGAGTGCTTTCAATATTCAATCTATAGTTCATCTAAGGCTTAAACTGAATACTACCTACTTAGTAACTAATGTATTTTACATGAGCAATCTACTACGGTAATATTAATTTTAAAAAATATATCCGTTTTATAACACAAATCATTTTAAAGTGTTTTGTCCTATATACCTTGTAATATTAATTGTATATAGTTGAAAGAATAATAACACTTGGATGGTGTAAATATTTATTACAGCTTGGTTTAAAATTCGTAATACACGATATATTTGAGAAAAACTACATAATCCTGTCTATCATCATAAACTGAACATAATATTCAATTTTATTCTAGATAAAAAATGGATTGTATTATTTTCAACTTATTATAAACATTTACTGAATAATTCACAACTCAATCACATTGTAGTCAGTCAGTCAGTAACAACGTAGAACTTCGTACGTACGTACATCAATACCAGTTGCCACACCACCTTAGCACAGAGATGCAGTTGTCGATTCAAATCACATAGTGGTAGAGGTAGTCAAAGTATAAGCAGTAATCGGAAAGATTAGAGTTTAAGATTTTATTCAAGGAGTATAAAACAGTGAAATAAATTTGGGAAGAGAAAAGAGACAAGGAGGGATCAGGAGATTAAAATTTGGGAGAAGAAAGAGTGGATGCACCTGCACCATTGCAAACGATTTTAAGTCATGTCATTCAGGGTCTCTAACCGTCGGTTGCTATCATCACATTGTATCGATTCTCAGATGACAATTAATTGAAAAGAGATAATCAAATGATGTATATACAAAACAGACAAGAATTAATTGAATTAATAAATAAACAATCACATTGCTTTTTTGTAAAAAAAAAAAAGACAAAACAGTAAACCTTTATATATATAATTAAGAAAAGTAGTCAATGGTGAAAAAATGATAATATTTTAGTTTTAATAAACCAATAATAGCTGGGATATTATCTAATAGGATTCTGGAATTACTCAGATGTCACAAACTGGTAGTAATACAATTCTCAATGGTATATTTTGAAACACTATTTTCAAAAGTTATGAGATCTAGGTAAAGAAGACAGGGTTACAAACAATACAACGATTATATGTTAATAAAATTGAGGGATTGACACATCCTATGTCTAAATGACTGTGGTTATGAAACACTAACAATCAAATTCTGAAGTATCATGATTCTTTTTGCTATTTAAAAAAACCCAGCTTACCAGTACGGGGTCCCAATAAATGTATTCCGTTTACCGAATGTTTTATCTAATTGTGCACTCACTCCAAAATCGACTAAACATAGTGGCAACAGGAATAGAAACGAAGAAAAAAAACACAGTAAAGTCACAAACTGATGTAATCTAAATTAATAAAAACAATTAATATCACAATTGGAACTGTTAACAAGAGAAACTTCAAGTATGACACTGAACAGAAATCTATCAATATCATAAGCTGATAAATATTGAATTAAAAAAAAAACTTTTGATGTGCCCAAACAAACAATAACATGATAGCTACAGTTCAATGATGTAACCAAGTGTTACCTGATTACTTAATAACATATTTGAACTCAATCCCATTTATTTTGATTATAAGTCGTTAATTATCGGTTAATAAATGTAACATTTAAATTACTTAACATGAAGAAATCTTTGTGGTGATAAAATAATAATATTAATTAATTAACTTGACCGATTGTCTTTTAAATATCAAGAAATTAAAGATATGAGCTCTGTGCTACTGTTATAACGTGGAAAATAAAGCTGATTAAGAGGGAGCGAATTATTGATCGGACCAAAGACGCGCAAACACGTAAAACGACCTAGGGTTCTGATTGGTCTCGCTTCCCTGTCTAACCTAGCCAGTTGAGTCCAGAACACAAGTTTCAGCCTCGGATATATGAATCCTTATATTTCAAACATACTCTATTTATATACCAAGCAAACAAACCACATCGTACCACAAAGTAGAAAATAACATTGTACAATATTGGCCAACAGGAAAATAACACGTTAAATAAATATCGACCAATGGGAAATGTACATTTAAGGTCCAAGGACACCATTGGACTTAACATGATAATTTTTGGGATATTTTCCTGAATATCCCAACACCTTCCCTTTTTTTGGAGATCCGGAGTTGATGTCCGGATTTTAAATTTTTCTCACGTCTATCCTCCCCCTCGAAATAATGTTGGGTCTTCATAAACCCAAGGAACAGTTAGTGTGACTCTATTTGAAGCATATTTCCCGTGTTGAGTAGAGAGTCCACTAGGACTGACTAGATGGTGAGGATCAGCGACAGTAGATCTTAGGTCATTAGGGTTTAAATCTTTAGTAAGTAGTGGAGCATTATGATAATCGGCGTCCAACAAAACTGTACCAGGTTCTTGGTTATTATTTGATGCGTGAAACACATTTTCTGGCAAAACAATGAGATCTCGTGAGCTGGATATGTTACTGTCTGCACATGCTGTTTCGGGGTTGATGGAGTTTGAATCCATTACCGGGCATGTTTCTGAAATGGAAAGTACTGGACCAGTGGGCGCATCATGGATGACTGTTTCGTTTGAAGTACAGTTCATCGAGGATTCATGGAGGCTGCTGTCATTTTCCAGCTCACTGTGTATTTCAGATATCAATCCATCCACTTCCGTCGCATCTTCATAGCATGAGTGATTTAGAAGCTGCGTGCGGAACTTGACTAATAACTCCAAATGTCGTTCAAGGAGCAGCTGTAATCGACCGGAAGGGAGAGTCATTTTTTTGAATCAGCACCTGTGATGAAAATTATTGTATGACTAATGACCAACGTGGTTCAAGGACACTGATGACAATCTGGATACTGATTGGTTGAATAATTAGACTGGGTTTCGTCCAATTACAGAATGACTTTGGATTGTATTTTTTCTTCACCCCGTCGCCAATTGTTATAACGTGAAAAATAATGCTGATTAAGAGGGAGCGAATTATTGATCGGACCAAAGACGCGCAAACACGTAAAACGACCTAGGGTTCTGATTGGTCTCGTTTCCCTGTCTAACCTAGCCAGTTGAGTCCAGAACACAAGTTTCAGCCTCGGATATATGAATCCTTATATTTCAAACATACTCTATTTATATACCAAGCAAACAAACCACATCGTACCACAAAGTAGAAAATAACATTGTACAATATTGGCCAACAGGAAAATAACACGTTAAATAAATATCGACCAATGGGAAATGTACATTTAAGGTCCAAGGACACCATTGGACTTAACATGATAATTTTTGGGATATTTCCCTGAATATCCCAACAGCTACTGATAGTAAAACAAACTCAGAGAGTTAGACACTATCATTAGATTGAATGTCACGCTAAATAATCGCCCTTATGATTCATTACTGAAACATATTCGAATTACTCGAGTCACATATACGATGCAAACACACTAAACCAACCTATAATTCATTAAATTTTACAATTCTAAAATGTCTAAGAATGAAGGTAAACTGACATGTTGAAAAATATTTTTGATGTACTGAGATAAATACAGTAGTATGAAACGTGGAACTCGACACATCAGTACATCAATTCAGGTAGCTAACATCCCGTTAAGACAGAGAGATGAAATTTTCGGGGTAAATCCCAGAGTGGTAGAGGTAATAACAGTATTAATAATATCTAATCATTGATTATGATAATCACGTGGACCCTAGTCAGGTAATCTTTACATATTTACATGGTTCAGTCAAAGATAATAGAGTTATGTCAATCCATGAATGTCTGTAACTAAAATGCAACGAAAGTCGTTACATATACGTATGCAGATAAGCAAATCACTTAGTTTATTTCCAAATGTGAACAATGTGAAGATTTTTTGCGTTTTCTCTGTAATATCGTGACATCACACATCAACTCAACAAACCAGTAATAGAGATAAGGTAAAAGATATCATAAATACAGCAACCGGTGATTGCCAGTATATACTATTTCCAGGACACCGTAAGTGGTTAAATAAAAATCTACCAATCGTGAAAAGTTTCAAAACGAGAAGTGTAAGTGATAACCTGAAGGGTGAACACGACAAATGTGAGAGAATGTCATCAATATAACAAAAAAATTCACATCTGGGCATCACTGAAAATACCTTTATGACATTAGATCATAAAACGCTAATGGTCTGGTAAGTCAGTCAATATAAGATTCATACAGGTATTTATATTTGTAATTTCAAGTTTCTAAACTGGTAAACGTCAGAAGCAAATAATAATAAGTTGTTTCCTAAAAATAAGGCAAAGCAATGTAGTGACCTTTAGATATTCGCTTAAACATATTTCGGAACGACAATTCTAGTTTTAGGCATGTTGTCTTTCGCTTAGTATTATATAATTTCATGTGACGCGAATTAGAACCGATAAAACTTTGTTGTTTGTTAGTCAGTTCTAACCAAAAAATCAATACATTGTGAAACTTATTTAGATTCGGATACGTCATGCTCTCGTTGGTAAATGTGCAAATCACAAAATTTCCAATAATGTCTTGCTTTTGTTGGTTGTTCAATAATTACTAATATCTAAGACTAAACAAAAAAATTTAACACAGAAGCCTCATGTAATTTAGTTTCATAAAGCATAAATCATAATACAGTCAAATAAAAAACGGTAACTAATTTTAATACACGTTATATGGGTAACACATTGCATAAAAAACAATATTTACAATAACAATAGAAAGTAAGGAATCAGCCACTAGGTTATGGAGCAAACCTGTTACATAAAACTCAATGATATTAAGTGGTCAACAAAATCAATTAGAAAGGTTTGAATAGGTGACTTTATCTTTGGAAATCTCATATGTTCGCGAATCATTGGCTGAAACTAGAATCCATACGTTTTAATTCTAATATAGTTGTACAGTTAGCTTGGTGACATGAACTTATTCATTTAAAAGACATTAATATTGACACAACTGTGTACCAAAATAAATATGCATCTCATAAAAAGAATGGAAATGTGACGAAATAAAGAAAGGTGGAGAATACAATCCCAACAAATAAATGAGTAAGAAAAGAAGTGGATGAGAATAGCGTAAAATAGAAAGTCCAATTAAAGGTACAACCAAGAAAACATCTTTCGGTTCAAAGAGTTTCTCTCACTTCCCTCTGCGCCATGAAAGGATACTTCTTAGATGTGGTCTCAACTACCCGGGAACGTGAACTTAGTGTCTAAGGGTTAACTGCTTCAAACCGGTTACACAACACCTCTTTGTGAGTAGTTATGAATGATTTAGCTCCTTACTTTCAATGCTTTACTACCGACTATGTAAATCTAAAGCAAAGTGAGATAAGCTGTTTTCAGGGTCAATCTTCACCAATCTCCTTACGTTTTGGGAAGGTGGCATCACTGAAACTGACAGATATTTGAGGGTAATACCTTATTGCCTTCACAGTCATTTACAGTCAGCCAGCAGTTTGTTGTTTTTAGTTTTACCACACTGACCGACCTGTCTAGTGTGGTAGGAGGACATTAAGGAACAAATTTTCCAACAAAAGTAGCATAACTGGGTCATCATAATACCAAGGTACGACCATCACATTAAGACAGAAGAAGCGAATAACAATATTAGCTTTAGCGACTTAAGTTTTACTAAATACCTACTACATTAAAATCCAGGAACAATGTTAGTGAATGGGAAAACCACTACATATCAGTTATAGTACAATTCAAGGGAAATTAGAATAGGTTAGGATAAGTGAACGTTTCTTTTATGTAAATTTATTTATGTTGAGATAATATATACATTATATTATATATCAAAGAATATAAAATGTATAAACACAACCAACAACCAAAACGGCAACAGTGATGATGATAACACAATCATGATAATAGTGAACTTACCAAGTTTCACCTCAGCATTATCAGTGAGCAATACATTTTGACCTTTAATGTCTCGATGAATCACACGATTTGCATGTAAATGCATAAGACCCTAGGAAAGAAAGTAAATTTTATTTAAAACAAATATATTTCAAAAAATGAATGGAATGCATATGGAGGAAGAAACAAATCTAAGAACCAAACAAGTTTACCAAAAATAAAACAATGACCTTTGAGATATAGGTCATAATATTTTAATAAATTATAGTGTCAGTTAAAGAATTTTTAATGCCAAAAATTTAAAAACGAAGAAAATTTATTGAAACATATTAAATTGAAATTTAAAAAATAGGATTTTTAAATGCAAGTCTTATTTATTTCAAAACTCACCATTAACTGAATAGACAACAGTTAATTACTAACTATCACATATAAATGTTTCTCCATAGGAATGAAATAGCAACCCATAATGTAAAAACAGATGAATTAAATCACATTGATGTCTTTTCTAAGAAAAGCTATTGTGAGTTTGAATGCTATATCTCATATTTAATCGGTTAGTTACAACGTAGAACCTGGTACGTACGCACAACAGTTCAAGTTGTCAAACCTAATTAGTTCAGTGAAATGAAATTGTAAGGCCTAATTCTGGAATAGAAGAGGTAGTAATGTGGTGTATGCTACTGATTTCGATAGATATAAGTAGTATGTATCATCAAACGAAACTGAAATACCTAGCACCAGAGAATTAGGAAGATCGAAGAAAAGGGAGCGAGAACAGTGAATGATTGCTTTGGAAATGAAGGAATAGTGAAGTATGAGACGACTTATTGACATTTTGCAAATTAAGTATTTACTGTATGGTTCTCAGATTTTACTAAGATGTTCTGTAATTCTGTATTCGAATAAATTCAATTGTTCCCACTTGTGTTCTCGTTCACTACAATAACATTATGAGTGATAATAGGAAATATTAAGCATCGGAGATAAAACTCTATGAGAAAATGTAAATTAGTGAAATATAAAAACATAAGAAGTTAAGGGGAATTTAGCGGATGCATTGCACCATTGCAAACGATTTCGAATCATGTCAATCGAAGTCACTATCCATTAGTAACGATAACCACATGGACCCCAACTACGTAGTCTACACCTATTAGAATGATTCAATCCAATGATCAGTCTTCATGGACTTGTGCTTTGTTTTCATTTGGCCGCCTCCCTAGCCTTTTTCCAGCTTACTCGTACACCAGACAACATCGATCTTCGATGTAGGCGGTGGTTGAGTATACGTGACACATATGTTCCGACCACTTCGGTTGACCAGGATTCACGATACCCTAACAAGCTCAAAACCACTATTAGAAGAATAATATATATATTTGCACTAAAGATACATCTCAAACTATTCTGTTTTATTGTTGAAATTTTAATCTTTTTATTAGAGATGTGATTAAATTGGGAGTAGTAACTTTTAAGAAACAATCAGCAAACCATGAATTCATTTTTGTATTGAAAATTTGTTGTTGTCTCTTTCCGTAAAACAAATTTTAAATGCTTTCCTTAACACGAAAACAATCCATCTTGTTAAACTAAGTTTACAAGACAATTTTAATTACTGATGAGAAAAGACATTGTTTAATTAAAATTCATTGAAAGTGAAATTATTTGACAGAGAATTATTCATATAGTAATCTCTGTTTATGAAATGATTGAAGAACAATTAGTCTAAATATGAGCACAAGTTGAGAATCAGTTGGAAACAAATATCGTTGGTAGAAATGCGAAATTCGCGTCTGTGATTGCATAAGTTTGATCAATACCATTTGGTTTCCAGTGTCCTCATAACTAATATAATAACTTTATATTAGTTTTTCAAGACAAAACTAATTGTATCTTATGATAGTATTGATTTAAACTATACAACCCTAAGGTGTACACTCACACAGTGATAAATTGAATGTTCAGAGAAACATTTTGGTCCACATAGAATAGAATAGGAACGTTATAAATGAAAAATATATCTCATTTCTCTGGACGCCATACCTAGATTCTAATCATAATTAGTATGTTATGTATTCACCCTTATAATGTTCAAATAACGTTGGAACTAGTTTGCTTATGAAAATTGTTATTTAAACTGAAAGTTTATTTATTTATTTATGTTTTGTTAAAACAATTGAAAGTTTATTTGAAACAATTGTATCGTGTGTCTAAAGATACATAATTTACATTAATAGTTAGTTGTTCATTATATTCATCGCAACATCCAATTTAATCGACACTATTTTCCACATTCATGGATTGATTACTAACTGAAAATAGCCAAATTACATCAGAACGTCTGACGAAAATAGCATTGGATTGAGATGAGGTTCTTTGCCTCCTAATGTAAAATGTAATTTCAAGATTGGTTTGCGTCACCCCATGAATTAATGATCGGGAGTGAAATGGTTGAACTCAACGACTGCTCCACTTATCTTAGGAGTCTAACCAGTTCTGATAGTCTGGCATCTGACGAAAACTCAGCAAGGATTCAGAAGACTTGATTAGTTTTTACCAACTTGCGTCATTTGTGGAGTAAGTGAGATACCCGTCTTCCAAATAAAGGAAGAGTTTACCGTGCAGTTGTTCATTCCGCTATAGTTTATGTATATAAAACATGGCAATTAAAAATGAAAGATATTCTTAGGTTATTGATATTCGATGATAAGTACCTTCGAAGCATTGTTCATGTATTTTTGGAACCCTGTGTGAGTAATGCCTGGTTTAAGAATAGAGTGCTAGGTAAAGATGGTAAATCGATAGATGAGGTAGTAAATCATCATCAACTGAGGTGGTCGGAATATATGTGTCACGTATACTCAACCACCGCCTACATCGAAGATCGATGTTGTCTGGTGTACGAGTAAGCTGGAAAAAGGCTAGGGAGGCGGCCAAATGAAAACAAAGCACAAGTTCATGAAGACTGATCATTGGATTGAATCATTCTAATAGGTGTAGACTACGTAGTTGGGGTCCATGTGGTTATCGTTACTAATGGTTAGTGACTTCGATTGACATGATTCAAAATCGTTTGCAATGGTGTAGTGCATCCGCTAAATTCCCCTTAACTTCTTATGTTTTTATATTTCACTAATTTATATTTTCTCATAGAGTTTTATCTTCGATGCTTAATCTTTCCTATAACCATTCATACTGTTACTACCTCTTCTATTCTGGAATTAGGACTTACAATTTCATCTCACTGTACTAATGGGGTTTGACAACTTGAACCGATATGCATACGTACCAGATTCTACATTGTAACTAACTGACTTGTTAAGGTGTAAGTCACATTCATTATTTAACATATACAAATTCAATATAATATTCCTATATATAGAAAGTTAAATATTGATATGAGAAAATAAGAAAACAAAATTACATCTTTAACTTGTTATAACTTTTTTATTCAAGATTAATTTCATTTTTAATTTAATATGATGATTATTCAGTGTAATATTTATTTTATTGTCAATGTGTTATTGTATGCAACATAATATTGATATATTACAGTATGATGTTTAATCAAGATACAATATTCTTTGTATTAGTATTAGATTAACATAAATCAGTGTATTTTCGACTAGGGTCATCATCATGTTTCAGTGGGAATATATATATATATATATATTCTAAGACAGTAGTCAAGTTCTATTCATATTCAATCAGTTCACAGGAATAATAATAATCTACTTACTCGGAGAATTTCTCGACAAATATAAGCAATCCAATCTTCTTTGAGTGATTTCGTGCGAGTACCTAAAACAGTAGAGAAAAGAATGTCATTACAAGATGACGAATCGTCTGAAAAACTAATAATGTGAACTAAAACCAAAACTCTTTTTAAGAACTACTCTTAAATAAATAAACACTACTACTTGCAACAAGGTGATATTGACAAAAAATATATATACGCGAGAATATATAAGCCAAATTTGTGGAAGAGGTGGAAGACTTTATGTACCTAGGTAGTATCACTGATAAATTTGTAACATACAATCATTTTTGCATTAAATTCCTTTTAATTATATTTACTCACTCTTATGTAACTGTTAATCAACTGTTTATTTGTCTATTATCTTGGATATAAGTGTCGTTTCAGAGGAAAAAGAAATCTATCTTGTTCACACTAGTTATACAGTTTACTGATGTTAGCTCATTTTCGTGGCAACGCATTAATAATTTAAGATTCATGAGGAATTGTCACCTGGTAATTTCAATAACAGTTAAGGTAATCAATTGACTGTACGGCTAAAAACAATGTTTCATTGTCATAATACCATTATACTCTATAAATGTGGGACATATTTCCTGAAAGTAAATACAATAGCACATTACAAGTGTATCCATTAACTCATCAAGAGAACAAAAGAATTTATAGAGTTTAAAAATGATCATCAACTGATACGATATTGACCAGTATCATGCATACCTGTCAACTAGCAAACTCTTTATAGACAGCTTGCAATATCAAAAGGTTAAGAAAAGATTAATGAATATCACAGAATAGGATTGTAGTTCAGTTTATAGTGCTGTTAACCGCTGACCCACGTTAGATAGGGGGCCATAAGTGATTAGGATCCACCAGGTGTATCTATGTTCGGTGGTTGTAGATTACAACATCAAGACAGAGAATTTGTTCTCATGGTCCAAATGAATTCATCATATTTGATCTTTCCTAGCATTTTGAATACTATCTCAGCCAATAAGCGCACATTTCTTAAAATGCGCTTCTTTTGTGTCTACTAGTTTTTTTTAGTTCTTTGTTAATACTGATAACTTTGTTTTCGTTACGTTATTTTTCCTTTGTTTTAATCATAAAAAGAAATTATGGTGAGGATTGAAATAACAAAGTAACAATGGATAAGATACAAATTATTATCCCTACTTTTGTCTTAAATTAAAAAAAACTACTCACTTTTTATTAAATCAGCCACTGATCCAGCACCACAATATTCCATAGCAAGCTAGGGATTAATTTTTGTTTAAAAACAAAATTAAAAAACAAACACTTGTTTCACTAAGAAGAAAAACAAACTCGAACAAGGAAAATCTTTAAAAAAGTTGAAAAACAAAAACATTCTCCTGTTGTTGTACGGTTAGTTAAAAGAAAAAAGAATGGAATAACGTTAAAACAACTGTGGATTGAATTTGTTATTCACACACCATTGCGTGATTAACAAATTTTATTGCTTCCCTCTGTGCACTCCTCACACCTGTCACCCAATAATATAATATTAATAATGATATGATCAATTATTATTGTCGTTTTAAGATGGAAATAAAAGCTAATGATTAGTGTAATGATTACCATGATAATGAGCTCTAATAATCACATTATCCCTAGTTTAGATTCGAGTTCAAACATGGTTGCAGTCAGAGATAACTTTTTCCTGAGTATGTTATAGTTTCTATATATTTGGGCGAAAAAAGTGTGCATCTAGACATTGAGTAGATATTTCGATAACAATTAAATCGACCATTATTTGTGTTAATACATATGGTTATTGCCCCAAAATTTATCGTTAGAGATAAAGAAAAAACAACTATAGTCGTTTTAATGTCAGCCCCTCCTACAAGCCCTATGGAATAGTTGGATTGCGCCTAATAAAGGAACCTGGGACGAGCGTTTCGTCCTATTTGAGCCGAATCAGCTGGTCGGGCCTGCATTCCAGTGTTAGTGTTTACATCAGAACTCGAACCCAGTACATTTTGCTTCAAACGCTTAATGAGTTATCCGTTGAGCTACTTAGTTCAGATAGCCAGTTAAGAGTGGAACGGGTGTAATTTTCATATCATGATTAGAAGGGGTTTGGATTATCCTGTTATTGATTATCTTGACTGAATTTTGATCAGTCTTTGTCGGTACATGTGCATTTTATGTGAGAGCCTTTTTCTGTAAGAAAATGTATACACTATTCAGTTAATTGAGAACTTTACTGACTTAAAAAGTAGTAAATTACTGTTCGTTAATAAAGTTCTTATTTTGCTAAGTGGACAATAGTATTGGTCCTGTTGCTTCTGTGCTTGAGTTAATTTTGGTAGAAGTAGTCTAGTATTATCACTAGCCCTTACGAAAAGTGTTACAAAGACGAATATATAAACATGAACCTCATATATTGAATTTCATCATAGGACATAGTTTGGTATCATTCGCTTAACGATGCCTGATTGCTTTTTTGAGTTTTCTCTTTAGTAAGCTATATCATCATTATCATGGATAGCAAAGAATAGATGAAGAATCAGTCATAAATTTGTAACAACACAAAGAACTGGAAAGATATTGTGAAACAGTTTTACCACATTATTCCATTGTCTGTTTGTACTATTCCCTTTATACCCAACAGACATTAACAGACAACCATCGATATAATAATGACAACAATGAAGAGGATGAAGTAGTTGATAAATTGATAAACATAGAATTGTTTTCAATATTTATACAAACATTATGGGAGGAGTAGAGAAAAAAACTGGAAATTGTCACAAGCTTTTCATATTTGTTTTATAAACACAAAATATGTCTGTATGATTATGTGTCCACCATTTACCATCATGGTGAGTGGGATGCATCTTCGCATTATTGTATAAATAACACATACGCACGACAATAATCAAAAATATGTGTGTAACGCTAAAGATAGAGAAATTAAAAGGAATGCACTACTTTGTCCAAAGTATACATACAAGTACTATACTAATGAGTCAAGCTATTGATTGATTTGATTTTTTTTGTTTCATTACAAGACAGGTGAATAAAACATGGCAGACATAATTTCTATGTCCACAACGCAAAGATTAGATGGGAAAAGAAGTACGACCTTGTGACTAATGCATTGTTGAGGCTACACATAAAACAATGAATAGCTTGAAAACACTAATAGTCTGATTCGCTTTCGACCAACTATAAACACGAAAACTGGTGATCTAGGTGTTACTCATAAGGAACAGGATAAGATATGGTTTGACATGAGTTCTGTGGTCGTTCAAGTGATATTCAAGCGTATGTTAGAAGCGAAGTCAATGATAAAACTAAGGAAATGGAAAATCAGGCTAGTGAAATGAATGTATATATATTAGTACAATAAGAAAAACTTTTAAACATCGTACACTTCTTGCATATTCCAAAGATTTGTAATGATGAGATCAATCGTATTACGTACTGCTTGATGTTTAGTTTTCTTGAGTTCATAGGACTTTATGTTAAAGTCTGAATATAAGTGAGAACACCATAAAGTGACAGAATAAATATCCATACGAAAACAAGTAGTCAAGGTTAAATTGTAGAAAATGATAAAAAATTTGTGTTTAGTGGTAAAATGAAAGTCTTTTGTAAACTATATCCCTAAGGAATCTATAACAAACTAAAAATGAGCTATCCTGGTAGTCATTAATATATGATAATCAGTGGAACATCAATTTTTGTCCGTCTTCCAATCAGTGGGGATATTTTAAGATATGAATGAAGAAAATTGACTCAAATGGTACTTTGTTCCAGGTCAATTATTTTTAGTACATAACATCAAATCTTCATTCTTAGTAAGTGCGATTCCCAGTCACTTAAAGGATAGCAGACAAGAACTTTAACCAATAAATATCACTTGAATCTTCCCATTGATGTTTTGGGAATGATCAATTTCAGTCCTAAAACATTAATGGGAAGATTCAAGTAAAACAATACCAAGTGAGTTAAAGTTCAATAAATATCACATTTACTTAGCCTTTCATAACCTATTGTTCTCAAATATTCCCGACCTAACTTCAGTAAACCGAATGAAAGCGTGTTAAACACAACTGCATTTTAATTTTTATCCTAATTATATTGTTTAATCATCTAATCACTTATTTTTACTATGATTATTTATGATCATACATCCCTGAATTCATGTAAATAGGTTACGCAGATATTAAGATGTATCAATGTCAACTATATTACTTAAATTTTGTAACGCCTCTTCACAATTTGACTATCTAATTCGTTTATATCTTGCATCTCAACTCCACTAAAACAAGTATCTGGAACCCAACCATATTTGTTTTAACTGCAGTTGGACGGTAACATTTGACAACGATTGAAATCATTTTATTTTATATATTTCATTACTATTGCTCTGTTTATAATAATTTCTAAATCGAAAGATTTGTTTGACTAACTAATTACACCAAAACCATCAACAGAATAATATTTACAATAAAACAAAAGTCATTGTAAAAAAAGAAATGAACAAATTCAACATAGTGATAACTTTATTAAAAATTGTTATGATTAGTAAAAAATATCTTACCCAAAGATGATCACGAGGTGAAGATTTTTTAATAAATGCACCATAATAACTAGCAATATTTCGATGATTCGATAACTAAACAAAACAAGAAAATAAGCAACAATAGTGAATACAAAAAGAATCTGACAAATGTTAATGTAAAGAATTTAAGGAAACACATCTTACAAATTGATATGTTGATTTTAGACTAACTAAATACAGTTTAAATAATGCTACATACAATACATTGTTCATTATTTTGGACAATGAATATGAATAATTGAAGTTATTATCATACATAACGTCTAATGGTACAACTTGATTGATTAAATTTCGGTAAATATAAACAATATTGTAATCCGTGATTCATTGAGTGAATAACAGACAGATAAATTAAGTGGATGTACAGGATGAAATAGCAGGATAAACTAGAAAAGTCATATCGACAAAAATTTATCAAAGTACCGTGAGATAACATTTTCCCCAGTCAAAATTAATATTATACGTTGAATATATACGTATAAGCTAAGAATTATCTGCTTTCACCTTAAATTCAGTGAGTATCGTTGATAACTACATTTTCTATGATAGAGTAACAAAGTACATTATGTATTCCCAAAACCAGAAATAAAAAAATTGGAGATATTTTTTGGTATTACATGACTTTAGAAAATATTCTAGTTGACTCTAGTTATATCCTGAAATATGTAGCGAGAAACAATAATAACAAGCACATTAAAAGCACAAAACATACCTACATCTATTATGGTAGATCCGCGTTAAGCTTAGAAGAATGACTTCAAGTAAAATAAATCTGAATCCTTAACAAAGAATAAGTATATTGACAAACAGTCCATTTTATCTCACTATACAGATATGAAACACGGATCGTGGAAGCAGAACAAAACAACAAATAACAAGTGGTCGGTAATACGTGCCCTCAAAGAACTATTTCAATTTAGTTCCCGAACTATCAAGAAAACAATAACTGTTGAAGAATACAAATCAGTTGATGAGTTTTTAGGCAACCATCAACTAACTCCGCGTATACTTGTTAACACATTAACTCGTTAAATGAAGGTTGCAGTGAGAGTAGGATGTTAGACTAGGCTATGACTTTAGTTCATAAATTTTTACCCATTGATCCAAGATATAAGTGAGATAGTATGCTGCCTGACTGACGTCTACAAGGAAGCTGTGATTAAGAGTTGAAAACCTTAGACTATAGTTATGGTGCACATTAACCCAACATCTATACTTCCCTAAATCTTGAAAATTTTGCTAATTAATAACCATAGTATATTTTTGCTTGTTTCTTTCGCTGATTTATTTTATAGTTGGTCCTAGGAACTGTATACCTCTTTCCGACGTGAAATATGATAATTTAAAAGCCCACTTATCCACACCAGGTAAAACTTTACTAAATCCGAATACACTAGAGAGGTTGCATGTGTTATAAGTGAGTATCCCTTATATATCACCGCCGAATGAAACAATAGAGGATATGAAGGATTAAAGTGATTGGAGAAAAATATGATAACACCTTATAAATTCACAATGACTATTAACCTGGATCATGTAGTTAACTGTCGATAGTATATTTATTTTATTTATTTACTTAAACACATAAACAGTGGTACAAGGAGGCATCAAATAGATATGCGCCACATAAATCATTCAATTTGTGTGAGGGCTGGGATACTGCCCGGGTGCCCAAACCGAAGTATATAAGAAAGCAGAAACTAATAATATATAACTTTGAATAAAATCGTGGATTTCAATTTATCGTAATGAGACATACATTACCATTTTGATCCCTAACGTCAGACCTATTGTCACATTAAAGAGGACTTGGGAAGTGTTATAACTTGTGGCTTTGTGCCCTATTAATATATAACGCAATGATACCGCCAATTAGAGAACGGTGATTTATCGACCGGACCAAAGGCTGTGTAAAATAAACAGAATAAAAAGATGTCTTAATATGAAAGAGCATACAAAAAACCATCGATTTCTGCAAAAGTAAACCCTTTAGGTAATAGTTGAAATAAATAATATACGCTGAAGCAACTGATCAACAGACTAAGCTTCTGGTTGCAATTAACTAAAATAGACTCTGGGATTAACAGTGTTTCGTGATATTATCAGTACATATGAAATTAGGAAATAGATTCAAGCGCACCACAATTAGGTAACAGTTGAATAAATGCACCAACCCTAATGAATTAAGAGAATTTCAACTACATACATTCTTAGAACATGAGTCGAAATATGATGGAACGGTTGTCCGACGACCAATAGATATAAGTTTCCAAAACAACCTCAATCTTATCTAATTTTGTCAGGCCTCAAAACATAATTATTTAATCTACAAATGAGACGAAAGACTAACCTTTTTTAATGTATCGATTTCCAGCTTAATTTCTTCTTCATCCTCTTCAGTAATTGGCATAACCTTGATGGCAGCTAGCTGACCAGTTCGTGTGTATCGTCCCTTGTATACATTTCCATAAGTACCTTTACCCACAACTTCGATGAGTGAAAAGATTCCCGATGGATCACGTAAATCATCCAAATTTGTTATGTCTAATCCACTATTGTTGGACATATTGCTATTGGTGATCTTTAATTTCCAAGGTAAAAACAGCAATTAGCTAGACCGGAGTCTCCAAATCACTTGAAGTATGTTTTACTAGGAAAAATACAGAAAATGAAGCACTCATAAGAATATGTATAACATGAGTATGAAGAACGAGTTAGTGATTAGAAAGTTGGATTTTTGTGATCTAATCGATTAATACCTATTGGTATAAACTTTATTTATACAGATCACCTTCAAATATTGATATTTTATTATAGAGGATAGTTCAGAGGATAACTTGCTGCTTAGTTTAGTCAAGCTAACATGTAAGATTTTATAATAAATTGCTTTTTGGTGTGGAAACAAGGTGGGTGTGCTAGACATAAATTTTGTCACAAGTGTTCAAACTTACAGCAAACATACTAATGTAGATCAATATGTATCGAATCATCATCTCCCGCAGCAGTTACTTCTGAACAACATAAACTGAACGGACAATACAAGTCATGAATACGGTGACGAGATGAAGGATCCTTTGTTATCTACTAATTTCGCCTTACAGAACGTCAGATAGTGCGAAATAATTTGGTTTACATCAAAATATCTTAGGGACAGAAAGCGAGATGTTTAAGACTATCACAATTACTATGAGAAAATAGGTGCGACACCAAGTTTTGAGTTTCAGATGTTGTTCATATCTATGTCAGGTAAGAACGGAAGGTTACTTAATAGCCCATCGACTAATATAGTAAAAATACGATAAAACTTGTAGTCATTATCTTGTTTGTCCGAATTGCATAAAAAAGTTAAGACATCCTATACAGAGTTACCAAGAAGATGAAAGTCAGCGATTAGAGACACTAGATGACAGCTTATAACCTGTTACAATGATGCAGATATATTCACTCATTACTCGTTATTCCTTCTCTCTTCACGTTTGGATATCTTTTATCTTGATAATCATTAAGATGCTACGGATTATGGTAACTTGATTTTGTACACTTCCTCAGGGTTCTAGATTATTATGTCTATCTGTTAACTAATTATTTGATTGATGGTACACTACTGTCTACTAGTTTATGATAGTTTATAAACACATGACTAAACATGAGTTGATTAATCCTTTAATGATACGACCAAATAATCACATGTCTGCGCATTTTTCTCATAATAACTGAATTTAATCTGAAATCCTTTATTTCACTTAGGGTCTTTAAAGAGAAAAATTGCAATACTTAATTGATTTTCTTTAATGTGATAAAAAATATGTTAGCCATTTTTACAAAACTCATAAATACTTATCTTAACAATAATGTAGGATTGACAGTGCAACTAGTCGACATAATTTCAATAAATGAAACAACTGGGTTAATAAAATGTCGAAAACAGTTATAGATTTTGTACAAACTGTATCTAGGTATTTATATAGTAAATCAAACACTAAAACGACAATAAATCGCACTCCATTAAAACCAGACGACCATAAACTAAAACTGAATGAATAGAGTTTGGATATTTTGGAAAACATGTTTACAAAATTGAGAAATTCTAATATATTTGATTTAAACTTCTACACTAACTGGATTGGTAAGAAAGGACTCCCAGTAACAACCATTGACTTCGTAAACTGATGCGATAATAAAAACTTGTTTACTATTACCTATACTTCGGCCAACGACACAGATTGAGGCCAACTAGTCAGCCATATACATTACTTTATCTCAACAATCACACATGCATTAAGTTGTTAACCAATACAAATGATCGACTTTCTCTACCTAAAGCATTTCACAGAACACCAATTATAATAAATGACCAAAACTACTCTTCAAAACAATGATAAAGATGCTCGAAGAATTAATATATCAGTGACCATATATAGACGTTACCACACTACAAATTGTAAACAACACGGTAGTCAGTCACTCAATAACAACGTAGAACTTCGTACGTACGTGCATCAATACCAGTTGCCATACCACATTAACACAGAGATGTAATTGTCGATTCAAATCCCGTAGTGGTAGAGGTAGCAAAAGTATAAGCAGTGACCGGAAAGATTAGGGTTTGAAGATGTTATTCAATAACTATAATCCAGTGAAATAAATTTGGAAAGAGAAAAAAAAGAGACAAGGAGGAATCAGGAGATTAGAACTTGGAAGAACACAAAGAATGGATGCACCTGCGCCATTGCAAACCATTTTGAGCCATGTCATTCAGGGTCTTTAACCATCGGTTGCTATCATCTCGCGGTCCCCAACCAGGTAGTCTACACCTACCAATATGACTAAGTCCACTTGTCAGTGACTTCATGGACTTGTGCCATGTTTTGGTCTGGCCGCCCCTAGCTTCCTTCCAATCTAATCCTACACCATAAAACATCGTACGTCGAGGCATTCGGTGGTTGAGCATACATAACACGTGTCCCAGCCATCTCAACTGATCAAGTTTCACTACTTCATCAATTGATTTGCCATCCTTACCTAGTACCCGTTTCCTAACAACTGCTTTACTTACTCGATGGTCCCAGGATATACGAGCAATGTTTCGAAGACACGTATGATCGAATACTAGTAACCTGCTAATATTCTCTACTCTTACCGGCCACGTTTCATTGCCATAAAGTAGGACGGAACGAACTGCTGTGCAGTTAACACGTCCTTTGGTTGATAGACGGATATCTCGCCTACGCCATAAATGACGCAAGTTGGCAAAAGCTAGTCGAGCCTTCTGTATCCGTGCTGAGATTTCGTCACACCAGATCACAAGGGCTGATGAGACTCTCAAGATAAGTGAAGCGATCGACACGCTCAATTACTTCACTCCCTATCATTAGTTCGGATGTCAATGCAATCCAATCCTGAAGTAACATTTTACATTTCGAGGGAGAGAATCGCATCCCGAACATGCTTGCATTGTTGATTAGAGTGGTCAGAAGACTCTGCACTTTGTCAGCCACTTCACCAAATAGAACTGTCATCAGCATATTCCAAGTCAACAAGTGAATCTCTCGGTAGAAGTTCAACCCCTGGAAATTTAGATGAGGGATGTGTTATCTCTAAAAGCACGTCAACGACGAAGTTAAACAAGAATGGAGAGAGTGAAGAGTCCTGACGAACACCACTTGAGGTAATCAATTCTGATGACAGTTCACCATAAGCTCTCGCTCTACCAGTTGTGTTTGAGTAGAGAGCCTTTACAAGGTTAATGTACTTCTTTGGTACTCCTTCCAATTACAAACACTGCCGTAGATCCTCACGATTAACAGTGTCAAATGCCGCCTTAAGGTCGTGAAATACTACCATTGTGGGGCGTCTGAATGTGTGTCTATGTTCTAGGACCTGACGTAGTGTGAATATCTGGTCTATACAATCACGTCCAGGTCGAAAACTAGCTTTTCACGAGCTTTGTTTAGGCGTCGAAGTATTATTGAAGCGAATGTTTTAGACACTATATTTGTCAAACTGATTCCTCTGTGATTGTCACAAGAGGACTTTTGTCCTTTCCTAAAAACTGGCACAATCAGTGATTGAGACCAGTCAGAAGAGATTACGTCCAGTTCCCAAATTCTACCTAAGACCTCAGTTAATCTCGCTGCTAATACTGAACCACCATCCTTAAAAATATCAGGAGTAAACGTGTCAGGGCCTGCTGCTCTCCCTCGCTTCAGATTTCCTATGGCTTTTTCAAATTCGTAAGGAGGAGGAGGACCTACATTAACTTGCCATTCAGGTTGACTGGAGATCGTGGGAAACCGGAGTGTGGCTGAAGGCCATTTGAACTGATCCCTGAAGTGTTCTGCCCATCAATCCAATCTCCTGAATTGATAATGTAAAACCTCACTTTTTTAAGATTCACTTTGCATAAAGTATTTCAACAAATTTACTTTAGGGAAAAATACATACATACATAGGGCAATAACCGGACACTGAATAGAACAAGAAAATAGTTTATTGACTACCAGTCAATTATTATTCAACTTACGAAGATATTCTGTGATAAAGAAGGGCCTGAGAGTTTATATATATATATATATGTATATATATATATATATATATATATATATATATATATTCAAGTGAAAAGTATTTAGAACTTCAGTACACCTAATGACCCACTATCATAAAACTCATCAACCAATAAGGCAAAATGCGGCTTTCAAACCGAAAAATATAACAATAATCAGGTTCCTGTAATTATTCCCATATGTAGACATAAAAATATATGTGCGATAATCCTTAGTGGTAAACATCAAAATCAAAACTTGTACGAAAGGGAGGTGACAAAAGTAATACTATGTAATTGTCGAGACTCCTAAGAGGCGAATTAAAAACAAATAACACTACGGACTTAGAGGTGAGGTCAAATGTAAGGCGCTAGGTTAGAAATCCTAGTCAGTTGATAAAGCTGTCAAGTAACATCGACTTAGGTGACCATGATATAGCCTACGTTCTTCAAGGTGGTGAAACTTATGAAACGAGTGTGGGGTCCCAACTCCAAATCAATATTCTCAATATGTACCAACCTACAAATGTGGATACAAGCGTTTCTTCACGAAGTTGACAAAGACCAAAGTTGAACTGTTAGGGAGAGTCAATCTGGAACGAGCAAGTCAATCAAAGTTCACGGTGCATATATTGGAACAAAATGTCTATCAAACATAATAGTTTTTGATAACAAAAGCATTTTTAGATACGTAACCTTAAGGTTGAGACTAATATTTAGTTATGGCCTCGACTAGTGGAACTATACTTTATGGAAGACCCTCAGTGACCTTTTGGCCAACAACGATACGTGATACAAATCAATAATTTATTAAAAACCCAGAAAATTAAAATGTATATACGGTTTGCGCATGACTAATGAATTTGTTAGAGTCCGTAATCAGCTCGTAGGTATGAAAATCAACTTTAGTGTGATACGGAATGTCGTCCATATTACTTGAGTTCATTTTACCTTTAGAACCTTTGTAAGGCTTTATGCGGTTCTTTAATCGTAACTGCACTGATTAAGCATTAATATCAACACGTTATTAGGACCGACAAGATAGCGCATACGAACGGTGACCCGATGATTATCACTTACAATCAACTAATGCTTAATAATTTTTCTGCACCGGTTAGGTCGTGATGCACGGATAACTATGAGATCTCATAAACACCCTAGATAATTCTCCGAGTAATACCGAGTACCTTCAACCAATAATAAGCGTTTCGGACAAAATCTTGATGAACAGCACATGTTTATTGCAGTTTAACTCACACATTATGTTACATTCACCGTACAGTTTTGCAATATATATATTTACTAATATTAAATACCTTAAGAACTAAATATCAGCAATTTTAACTGAGCTCTTGATGAAGTACAAACTACCCGTCACAGTGCTCTGAAATTCATGAAAGAAATTCATCATTTTTATCTTCATTGCTCTGTCCATTAAGCACATTCCTACTGCCTTAATCTCAAATGTAACCCTAGGTTTCGTACACTCCAACAGTAAATTATATTCTTAAATCCGCAACACACGCAATGTCGATCCTAGTTATGACCTCAAATTATGAATCCTAGAACCATGATCCTAACTGTAAATCCTAATCCTGAGTTTCTGAATCATTCCTTCATATTTTTACCAGCTAAATGTAGTCAAGAACTACTAAGTGTCCCCAAATGCCCTGGTATAGCCGAGAGTGGAGAGTGCCCACCCTCCCTCTCGAAATGCTCTCACACGGCCACGCGTATACAGCCTCTGCCAGGGAAGTCCTATTCACTGCCTTCTCGTGGCGGGGGTTTTCTTTACGAAAATGAGAGGACGAAAAGCGAATGTACGGCGCTTTAACCGGATCCCAAACCAATCTTGCGCACGGGCTCCAGTATCCTGCGGGAACAAATGGCCTATGAACCAATCGTTGGTCACCGGCTACCATGGGACTGCATCTCCTTACGATGCTCCACTGCCTTGTGGGTCAGACCTTTAAGTCAAAGGCTCAGGGTGTGGCCCCCTAAGAAAACCACCTGCTTCGGTCTGGGAACCCGGGTAGTATCACAGCCCACACACAAATAAAAGAAAAATGTCGATATTTACGGAAAATACTTGTCTTGCTTCGATTAAAAATCAAACGATTCACATTATTATTATTTATTGCATCATTTATCCACTCTCTTTTATTACCACTTTATGTATCCTTATTTTTCGACTTATACAGCAGCTCGCCTATGGTGGAAACTCGGTTATATCTAAACGTTCTCGAGTCACTGACTGATTGAAAATTGTATGCTACCACCAAATACGAATACTGAAACAGTTTTTCTGAAACTACGTGCACCATTCAAACTGGCCGCCTTCAACGTTCGCACACTTATGCAGGTCGGACAACAGATAGGGCTGGCTATGTCTTTGGAAAGTCTTAATATCGACGTTTGTTGTCTATCCGAGACCCGTATTTAAGACTCTGGTGAAGTACTATAAATTCGCTCTCCATCTGTCGTTTCAATAAGCTTGTTTTACGTGCGTTTATCCGGGGACCCTATGGCATATTCGTCTGGTCTTGCTGGCGTTGGTGTCGCACTAAGCGCTAGAGCTGAGGCAGCACTAATCGATTGGATCCCCATTAACAGTCGGTTATGTGCTGTTAAATTAGAAAGTTCCATCAAAGTGAGAAGAAATCGGCGTGAGGAACGATGTCTTTTCGTCATCTCTGCCTATGCCTTGACAGATCCCAGTCCGGATGCAATCAACCATGAATTCTACCACCTGCCTTCGCGAAACGTCCCGCTTATAAGCACTGGGTTTCTTCAGGCCCCTTACAACTCATCGAAGCCTGTCGATCTCCGGGTTACTGTGAATTTGACCACAAACGAGGGCTGTTACTTAATGAAATCGGGCAAAGCTTGCGTAAGGACCGAGAAGCCTGGTGGTTGGGGTGTGCTAATGAGCTGGAAGCAGCAGCTGCATCTGGTAACTACCGGAAGCTCTTCCAACTCAT